TCGTGGCTGAACAAAGATGTTACATTCTCAAGGACTTAAACTGCACTAGGTAATTGATTATGTATACAATATACAGATAGCAGGGTGTCCTAAAAAAGGCACCCAAGTGATCAGTAATGATAACTCACAAACGGTTTGAGAACGGCATTTATTATATACAAGATTACGGTAAAGGTATAAGGTATGACATCCGGAGTCCCAGAAACATTTTCAGACCTGAAGTTCATTCGAGTAGGGTGTGGCAGCTTCATGACGTATTTTTACAAATTGTTTCATATCTTGCTCATTTTATATGCTATCGTTTGTTCTTGGTCAAAAAGAGAAGATCGTATATTGAGCTTGGATAACCACCTCATTTGCTTGAGTGCAGTTTTCATTAGTAGGTACTGTGGTGATGAAAGGATTAACCTTTGCTAATGTCAGTATCATTGCCAGGGAGTTATCAGTAACTCGTGTTCTCTGCAATAAATATGTTAGGAGGCGAGCTGGAAACTAATAGAATTGCTCTCTAGCTCTCCAAATTATATGTAGGTCTAAGGGTTAACCATTTGTTCAAATAATTCAAGCAATTTCCATATCTTACAATAATTATGACAAACATTTAAATTGAAGTGGTAATGTCTAGCTCTTCTAGATAACAATATACAACAATAAAGTTTTAGCAAATGAATATTTTATGAAGGAGTCCATATAATGCCACAGTCATCAACAACATCATGCCCTCTGGTGATTTTCTTTCGTCATTAATTGCTGGTTACTGCTCCTCAATTAGCACCTTAAAATCTTGAAATTGATTTGAACCTCGAATAGATTGATAAAGGAGCATTTTGTTTGACGACCGTTTATGTTGTACACTATTTCACATTGAGGAGTCAAAACTTGTTATTTTCGGTACAAACTGGTTAATTTGATGTTTTCAGAACATTTATCCAAATTGAATCTGAGTATTCTGAGTCCTACTTCACCTCCGGACGAGGACGGACAATTGATAATACTGGAGGTTCCAAACGAAACCATCAAACCAATTATTGATTTTACAACGGCTCTTTTGGATGACCGAGGAAATACATTTAATCCAACTGTAGATGTCGTTATTGGCGTTTTAGCGATAACCTGCATGGTTGTTGCGATTGCGGGTAATTTGTTGGCTTTTCTGTACTTCAGGAGGAAAGTCAAGATATCGCTTCCGTTGTACTTGTACGCTATCATTAGTGCTATTGACTTCGGCGACGCTTTATTGTCTACTCCAGTTATTGATTCGCTCCTCCATTCAAGATCTCCTAGGATTTTTGATCAGACTGCAATTTGTGTACCTTGGGCGTTGGTGTATAGTTACTTCAGAAGAATGTCTATGATCATGGTTATGGCAGTGGGATTAACGAGAGCCATTGTAACGTACAGTCCCTTCCGAAACATAAGAACCAGCACGGTATTATTCACAATTATAGGTTATGCCGGGCTGGTATTAATCATAGACGTCGTCTACTTTTCCGCAGGTTGGCTCAAGACAAAGTATCGACCAAATGAGTCATTCTGCGAGATCTACCCGACTTCGATATCGGCAAAGGTAGCCGTCTACTCCGTACTTCTCCAAGTTGAATTCATCGTTCCCTGTTTGATTGTTGTTGTGAGCTCTATTGTCTGTACGGTATCATTGGTAGGACCCTGGCGGACTGTATCCAAAAGAGAAAAGGGAAGAAGGAGGGCTACAATCACCATAGCACTCTTCTCGTGTGTGTTTCTCATATGCAACCTACCGGTCTTTCTTCTTCAACTGAATTACCTTTTGGCTCAGTTTACGTCAATTTCGACGGTGGATGATTTTAAAAATCATGTTTTTCTTGGATGGTACGCTCATTTGCTCTCTCATTTCTTTTTAAGCCTACTGAACACTGCTCTCAACCCATGCTTGTATTTCCTGCGAATGCCGAACTACCGACAGTGGCTGATTGACATTTGGACAGACCCAGGTATACTGCTTAGACAGCGATCCAATACGATGGTATCCCAAAGAAGGTCCTCCGAGTATTCCAACAAAAGCTACAACATTTCATTTGAACGATATCGCAGAAGCAGTTTGGCAAATAGCGGTCAAACTTCCAGCAGCCAATCTTTTAGCAAACGAGATATAAATATATAAATATAAATACAGGGTGGGCCAAAAGTCAGTACCCATACGTTGGCCCTAATAGCTCCGCCGTGTTTTATATTTGAGAGCTGTTGCTTTGCAGATGGCATACTGTACTTACTGGTTCGAGGATTCCGTCGTCAAAATTGGAAAATTCGAATATTTTAGACCACGCCCATTCAACATTAAAACACCTATATTGTTTTCTCTGAACATGCTGAACGCCTAATTTTTTCAGAGACGGTAGATTATCAAATGTTGCATATGATCTGAAAACATGAGGCAAAACGGATTAGAAATGATGAAGTTATCAAGCATTTTCTGTATCTCGTTAACAAAATTGACTGGGTGATTATGTGACACCGTGACACGACACCTTAATTGGGCACCCTTAACAATTCCCATAATGTTTAACGGGGTAGTTAACGGGGTCACCTTATCACGTGATTAGGTAAACCAATCACCTGATCACACGTAATGAATAAACTCGTTATGCTTCATATCTCGGTCATCTGAGAAGCTACAGTTCTAATTTTTTCAGGACAAACGTAATTCGAATGGCCAAACACAATTCAATAACATTTAGCTTGATCAGACTATCCAAACTATCAAATAAATGTGAAAATGAACCTCCATTTGAAAAAAATGAACGCGAATATTTTTCGAGTTGACAAATTCCTCGAACCAGTGGTGGTACTAAGTCATACCAGAATGAAGTATTTAAATTGGGCACTCAGTGACTGAGCTATAAAGGCCAACGTATGGGTACTGACGTTTGGCCCACCCTGTATATTAAATAGACAAAATAAGTAGACTCGACAAAGTTGAAAGTAACGATGCATGACATCGTCTCATTCTAACATTGAATTATTACTACACACTTTGAATCATTGTGTAGAATCAAGTTTGGTATGATATAATGTTGAATATTATTTTGTTAGTAATCCGTGAAATTTTATGTCTAAATGATCGAAGGAAACATATGGATTTTGTTAAAGTTAAAACTCTTAATACCGGGAGCGGTGCGGTACAAAAATCAAAGTATAGATAGTTTTGACAGTTCCAAATCGCATGTTTCGGGGAGAGGAATAATCGCAGTGCGGTTGGCCCGTAGCCAAGTTTTTGGTTTATATGGGAGTTTCACGGTATTGAGAGTTTTTAATGTTCAATTTAATGTTCAATTAAACGCACTAATCGTGCTTCAATTTTCCAAATCGGCACAAACTTATATTAGTGCTTTTCATTAAAAAATGAGGCACAAGCTTACTTACAGCTTACATATTATGTAGTCAGTGTATTGGACTGACTAGACCAGGTTAAAACTTAAAACATTCCTATCTCATTACATAATTTGATAATTACTCATTTGGGACAATTATTCTTTATCTGTGTAATGTGGCTATTATTCCCAAATAAACTAAAAGAAGGGAACAATGTTACACGCATGTTAATTATTGGTAGTGACCGGCGCCCTACCGGCAGCGGTATCTGCTTGAACTACCTAATTATTAACTGTTCATTTTACAACTGCCATTAACAAGTGAAACATTTCAGACCAAATGGAACGGTTATTGGGTTTTTAAAAGTTGGAGCCAAGAAACTCTTCTTTATCGTAAGTGATTACAACAATATCTCCATCCTATTACACTTCGTTAGGGTTGAAAAGTGAAAATAGAAAATGTATACATTTTAAACCAAAGTGTGTGAAAGAATGAATCCAAATTCAATAGTCTAATTCTACGTAACAAAATTGTAACTATTGTTATAATAATCTCAAGACTTGATATATAATAGAAAACATGCAACAAGTTGCAACACATTGCCGTATAAAAAGATGTTACTGCTACTGCATAGTGCATATCAGTTATTTATCATTACAAAAGTACATTTATCACTCAATATGTTATGAACAATAGAGAACAGTACAATACTCACTCCTCACCTCAGAACCCTGACTCTAACCAAGTTGAAGTAACTCCGCTGTGTGTTCTGGATTTCTACGTTAACGAGGCCCGACAACGACAAGGGCACGGTTACAAGCTGTTTTCTAACATGATGGAGGTTTGTTTTACAGACGTTTTTGGAGACCACGTAATGAAAAATAATAAATTCATAACACAGCCATATATAATTACCTTACAAGACATATTTATGTGGATCATAATTCTGTGGATCGGAATTATGGGGGAACGAAAATATGGGGATTTTTTTCAGAAATCCCCAAATTTCGTACCCCAAATTAAATTGTCGCATTTTCACGCTAAATTATTTCAGAGAAATCAAAATCAGTTTTTTAAAATATGGGGATTTTTTCCAAAAATCCCCAAATTTCGTACCATATAAATATGTCTCGTAAGGTATACAGTTATACAACGCCTGCGTCTAGACCGCGAGCTAAAATTAAACTTCTCTTTCAGAACGAAAACACCTCTCCTGGCTCCCTTGCCATAGACAGACCATCAGAAAAGATGCTTGGTTTCTACAAGAAGAGATTCAACATATCCGCACCTATTAACCAGGTATTATAGAGTTATTTAATTTATTTTCAACCTGTCCGCACCTATTAACCAGGTATTATAGAGTTATTTCATTTATTTTCAACCTGTCCGCACCTATTAACCAGGTATTATAGAGTTATTTAATTTATTTTCAACCTGTCCGCACCTATTAACCAGGTATTATAGAGTTATTTAATTTATTTTCAACCTGTCCGCACCTATTAACCAGGTATTATGGAGTTATTTAATTTATTTTCAACCTGTCCGCACCTATTAACCAGGTATCATAGAGTTATTTAATTTATTTTCAACCTGTCCGCACCTATTAACCAGGTATTATAGAGTTATTTAATTTATTTTCAACCTGTCCGCACCTATTAACCAGGTATTATAGAGTTATTTAATTTATTTTCAACCTGTCCGCACCTATTAACCTGGTATTATAGAGTTATTTAATTTATTTTCAATCGCTTAAAATAATTTCATGATACCTTGAAGACAAATCATAGTCTTCCATTTTATTGAATAACTTAAAAACAAGCAGTGTTTTTGCAAAGAGCTATATATATATAATTGCTGGTGAAGACATCAATGTTTTGCTTGTCGACTCCGTCAGCCGTGGTAATAATGTTATGCAACACTTATCAACTTAGCTTTCGAAAACACTGTGCAATTGTGCGATCATCCTTACTAAAATCTCACATCTAACAAATTTCAGCCCAACAACTTTGTTGTGTTCCGTGATTTCTTCTCCTCCTACGTGCCAACAACCTCCAAACAGTGGCCAGATCATCTGAAGAGAGGACCAATAAAACTGAAAGGTAAAAACTTCTGCAATAAGATATAGGGTGGGCGGGTGGGTAGGCCGTGATTAACTTGATGTGTGTTTCATCCACATCTCTAGAAGTATTGTAGCTGTGTAATCAATTACTACTGGCTGAGATTTGAGCTGAAAGTTAATTCTGGCCCTATCTGTACAACATGTTAACATTCTATCATGTGATATGATCCTGTCTCTAATCCGTTAGAACTCATAAATAGAAATTGCTTAATTCTTTTACCTGCAAATATAGAACATATTCCTTAAATGGCATAATTGCAGCTTTTTTACACAGTTATTTGTTAACGCATATCGGACAGAGGTGTACAATAATACGAACAGTATATTTTGCAGTTAAGACTAATGTAGGTTTAGGTGGAGCAGGTGGGGGAGTGGGGGGAGAGGGGGGAGAGGGGGTATCTCTTTTGTTTAGACTCGCTATCTGTCGGACAGTGTGCGGAGATATTATAATCTACTAATTATAGGTTAGCAGGTATTACTATTAAATATCTGACGATATTGGTTTTTCTGTAGAGATGGGTGTATTTTTAGATAGCCTCTTTGAAGGCAAAGTCTTAAAGATGGAACAATCAAACACATTATATTATTAAAATGATGTGCTCAATATTACAATTAAAAGTCACGTGTTCACTATAAAGCTGTGTCCTGATTGGCTGCTGGGTTCCTGAAAGTTATCCCCTCCACCACACTAGTCATCTCTATAGCTGGAAGATTACCTGAGGATACTGGCACCAGCTGGTGTAGTCCTGGTACTGGTGGTCGAACAGGATTAGAAGTAGATATACCTCTTCCCATTCTACTGCCACAAAATACAATCTTCCTTGCAAGATCCTGAACGTACTTTCCAAATCTTCTGTTCGTTATTGTGTACAATATTGGGTTGCCACAGACATTAAGAAATAAAAAGTGAAATGCCATGAGGTCCATAGCAGGGGACACTTTAATTCCTTGGCCTTTGAGTAAAGTAAACACCGCAAACGGGGCAACACTACAGATGAAGAGACCAGATAAGAGTAAAGTGGTGACCAAACCCTTCAAGTTAACGGAACTGTTTGGGCTGTGTCTCTTCTTTTGTCGATAAGCCACCAAGAGTAAAATCAAGTTGAAAACTGTGATGAGGATAATAGGTACTATAATCTGTAGGATGAGCGCAGTCCCCCATAAAGGGGCAGCATCCTGATTTGTATAAATTGTAGTGATGCATCTAGCACTTGCAGGTGCAAACAAAAAATTGGACTTGTAGCCTAAAGATATCGCTGGTCCAGCCATCGCGAAAATCCAGATCATTAAAATAACTAGATGAATGGACCTCTTTGAAACTACATGGAATGGGGAGGCAATCATTCTAAGTCTGTAGGCTGTAATTGTCAGGACAGTGTCGAAGTTTACAACAGCGGGTATGAACGGCAGATGAGCGCTGATGAAGCAATAGATGTCACCCATAATGTACCTTCCAGCGAAGTAGGTGACAGTGATAGGTATCACCGCCACTATAGTGTATAGCATATCCGCCACTGCCAGGTTCCTTACCAGTACAATGGAGATCCGGTCTAGTTTTATGGCGTTATACCGGATAGATGAGTAGACGACGAGGCCGTTTCCAATCAGACCCATTATTACAACCAGCAGGCAGAATGTTGCTAGGGGAACCACTTGTGCTGTGCTCAGCGTCAACTCCAACATTGCTCCTTATCTTATAATGATTTGTTCAAATTAAGAACCAAAATTTTAGACAAGATTCACTACAACAGCTTGAGAAAGAGTAACGAGCACTAAAAACAAATAATTGATATTCCGTCGATATGAAATATACTACTTGTTACTGTATTAGTACAGGGGGGGGGGGGGGGGGGGGGGGCCAAAGTCAGTAACCACCGCCATGCTTTATATTTGAGAGTTGTTGCTCTGCAGATGGCATACTGTACCTACTTGTTCGAGGATTCCGTCACCAAAATTTGAAAATTCGATTTTTGGGGGCCACACCCAATCAACATTGAATTGCTTATACTGGTGTTTGTGAACATGTGAGAGACTCCGTTGTAACATATTGCAATAGGTCATTTAATCCAGAATATAATCTGAAAAGATGGTGCGAAACGGATTTAAAATGACGAAGTTATCAAGCAATTTGTTTATCTCGTTAGTAAAATTGATTGGGTACTCAATGATTGCCCAATTACGACACCGTAATTGGGCTCTCTGCACGATTCCCATAATGCGGATCTAGCCTCAACCCAATCACCTGATCACACGTAATGAACAAACTCGTTATGCTTCATATCTCGGTCATCTGAGAAGCTAGAACTCTCATTTTTTCAGGACAAACGTAAATTAAATGGCCAAACACCATTCAATAAAATTTTGCTCGATCCGACTATCCAATCAAATAAATGCGAAAATTAACCTTCATTTGAAAAAATTGAACACAAATATTTTTCGATTTGACAAATTCCTCGAACCAGTGGTGGTAGTAAGTCATACTAGAAAGAATTATTTCGATTGGGCACTCAGTGACTGAGCTATTGAGGCCAACGTATGGGTACTAACTTTTGCCCCCCCCCCCCCCCCCTGTATAATATGTATATTTGTGATGGCAACAAAATCAAATATATTATGGCACTAATGCCTATTCTGCTGTTAGGAGAGAAATCATTGAATCTATTTAATGATAGAATTAAAAGGCAATTTAAGCAGGTGCTTATAAATACTGGGTCGCGCTTAGTCTGTCATTCCGCTGAATCTTTATTCGGCGGAATCTTTATTATATGTTTATGAACATTATAGCCTGGGGTCCTCAGGCAAGTGCTTGTAGATAATTATCATTAGCTAAAATCATAGTGATATTTAAATAAAATGACATTATAAATTTTGTGAATGGGTAGAATACTATTCTAACAATAGCAATTAAATACAGGTGCAGTGGTTCTGCCAACCACCTCCTTTATAGAAACTTAATAGTCAACTCCACGCAGTAGAAATAGAATGACCTCTAATAAGGATTTCGCAATATCGACCATGACGTCACGTTCTGAATAGGTTCCTGAAGATTTCTTTTTTCTCGAAACCATGTACAGTAAAACCCCTATTTACTATTTGCTTTTCCCGCAAACTGGACGGTGAATCGGGTTTTTAGTGTACGTAGGACGTTAAAAACGGTTTGTGTGGGGCATGATAGATTTTTGAGCTTTTAAGTTGTCAGAATTTAACAAAATGGTCAAACACAATCGGTTGGACTCAACTACTGACTGATATTTGGGCTAAAAGTTAATTCTGGCCATATCTGAACAACATATCTGTACAAATATGGAACAATCAAACGCATTATATTATTAAAATGATATGCTCAATATTACAATTCAAAGTCACGTGTTCACTATAAAGCTGTGTCCTGATTGGCTGTTGGGTTCCTGAAAGTTATCCCCTCCACCACACTAGACATCTCTATAGCTGGAAGATTACCTGAGGATACTGGCACCAGCTGGTGTAGTCCTGGTACTGGTGGTCGAACAGGATTAGAAGTAGATTTACCTCTTCCCATTCTACTGCCACAAAATACAATCTTCCTTGCAAGATCCTGAACGTACTTTCCAAATCTTCTGTTCGTTATTGTGTACAATATTGGGTTGCCACAGACATTAAGAAGTATAAAGTGAATTGCTATGAGGTCCATAGCAGGGGACACTTTAATTCCTTGGCCTTTGAGTAAAATAACCACCGCACACGGGGCAACACTACAGATGAAGAGACCAGATAAGAGTAAAGTGGTGACCAAACCCTTCAAGTTAACAGAACTGTTTGGGCTGTGTCTCTTCTTTTGTCGATAAGCCACCAAGAGTAAAATCAAGTTAAAAACTGTGATGAGGATAATAGGTACTATAATCTGTAGGATGATCACAGTCCCCCATAATGGGGCAGCATCCTGATTTGTATGAATTGTAGTGAGGCATCTAGTAACTGCAGGTTCAAACACAAAATTGGACTTGTAGCCTAAAGTTACCGCTGGTCCATCCATCGCGAAAATCCAGATCATTAAAATAGCTAGATGAATGGACCTCTTTGAAACTGGATGCAGTGGGAAGGCAATCACTCTGAGTCTATAAGCTGTAATTGTCAGGACAGTGTGGAAGTTCACACCAGCAGGTATGAACGCCAGATGAGCGCTGATGAAGCAATAGATGTCACCCATAATGTACCTCCCAGCGAAGTAGGTGACAGTGATAGGTATCACCACCACTATAGTGTATAGCATATCCGCCACTGCCAGGTTCCTTACCAGTACAATGGAGATCCGGTCTAGTTTTATGGCGTTATACCGGATAGATGAGTAGACGACGAGGCCGTTTCCAATCAGACCCATTATTACAACCAGCAGGCAGAATGTTGCTAGGGGAACCACTTGTGCTGTGCTCAGCGTCAACTCCAACATTGCTCCTTATCTTATAATGATTTGTTTAAATTAAGAAATTTTAGACAAGATTTACTACAACAGCTTGAGAAAGAGTAACGAGCACTAAAAACAAATAATTGATATTCCGTGGATATGAAAATATCAGCTCATGTTCGTGTCCCTCGACGTGACGATAAAAATGATGCGAAGGACGAAGGACGAAGGTGCTAGTAGCAGCTGCAGCCGATGCTATTAAATACGGAGTGCTCTAGGCAAACGTACAAATACGGAAAAAAAACATTTCTTGCCGATGGAGGATTAACTTGGGGCCATATGTCCGTGGGGTCCCTAAATTTCGGTAAAATTAGTATAATGATAAACCACTTTTATAGAAAACTGCCATAAATGTTTGCGCAGATGGTTCCATAAATCAGTAAAACTATCGTACTATCTATTAAAATTGAAGACAACAACTCTCACTTGATAGTTGATAGGTAATTTGGATTCTGAACAAATAATCGATATAGCTCTGTAGTCGATGCATTACGAAAATTTGAAAATTTTGAGTATCAGCAGAAGACAACAAGGTCAGGTGATCAGGTGATCATGTGATCAGGTGATCAGGTGATCTTCTGCTGCTGCTCAGCCTCCCCCGATTATGTCATGTTGGTAATCGCACTATATAGTGACAACACTATAATATAGTGACAACACTATTATCTAGGAATTAAACAGGAATTAAACAAAATTGGGTCAAGCGGCAGATGCCGTGTCTGACCAATACAGTGACAAGCACTTTATAATGACAGCTGATCTTTGTCACTATATAGTGTGCAAAACGCACTAGATATAGTGACAGCACCATATAGTGACAAAAAAAGGAGGACCTAAAAACCCGTTTAAATAAATATTATCATTAACTCATTTTATCCATGAATTATTTTTAAATTACTCTATTAGGATTTAGTAAAACAATAAATACCTTATTTATTTGGCTTGTAGTAAAAGGTAGTTGTACTACAAGAGTTGGGGGGGGGGGGGGGCAACAGGCAACGTTACGCCACTGGACCTTACAATAAATATTTCCGTAACAAGAGCAATCCATGCGATTCTCTCTGTGAACGAAAAATGTATAGCTTACTATAAGAGACCAGACTTACATTCAAATGTTGGCGAGTGCAAAATGTAACAGGATCAAAAAATCAAATTGAACTCTACAAATTCGATTCATTAGCGTAAGATTTCTAAATTATTCCTTTCTACTTGTAAATAATTGGAATTCTAATTAACTAGTGAAATTCGGGGTTACGGCTATTATGAATTGAATAAAAGTAATTATCATTTAACATTTTTGTATCCTTGTGTTTACGAAAGATTAAGGTATGAAACATTTAGAAATTAGATGATTGAAAATCTACTACCGATCCAAGAGTTGAAAATGTTGTTTTGTGTAATGTACAGCTATTGTCTCCAAGGCCTGGCCTTGCTCCACCATTGGGATGGCACTAAAAGCTTGCAACCTTAATGAGTGTCTAAACCGTATGTTTAATGTTAATACCTGAGATATAACAATGGTAAAACTGTTTAATGTGTCTCATTGTATGTCCCTCAGTGTGTACCCATCTGTATATATATTGATACAAATTATCATGTTTCATGTGTGCTTTATAGTGTTGGTACATTTTCCAAGTCTTCAACTTGAAGCCTGCCTGACATAGAGGTTTACCGCAAAATATATTTTGACCAATGGGAAATTTTGTCTGGAACGCGCGAAAGCTTTTGTATTGTTTTGTGAAGGAAGTTTCTTACCGTGTTCATTTTGTGCAAACGCGCGGCGCGATTCAAAAATATAGCATGATACATGATCTCATCTGAGATAATCGATATATTCTAATCGATGCAGAACAAATTCGCGTTATAGGCGGTAACCACAGCAACTTGCAGCAAACGCCTGACAGTAGTATGAACCTGCACTGATATGCAACTATTTGACATACTATAATATTATACTTATCGATAGTCTGAAATAAGTTCATATTTTCTACACATGTTATCCTACAGTCACTGTTTATGAAGATGCGTGACAGCGTGATAGTGCATTTTTGGGAACAGGAACAGGGGACTGTAGATAAGTTCATTGTGATTGGGAGTCCACGTTTTTTCATAAACTCATTACAGTTAACGCTTATCACAATTAACTGTTTTCAGCTGTACCTAAGCTGTTGCCTGTTGAAAAGGAGTCGTTTTTCCCTTCAACGCTGACCATGCCTTTAAAGCCAAAGACAGCAACGCCAGTGTCCACCAATCCGGCAGCCTTCAATCCAGCAGCCTTCAATCCAGCAGCCTGCACTCCCTCAGCCTTTATACCAGCAGCCCGTGGTCCAGTACCAGCTGCCTTTATTCCAGCAGCCCGTGGTCCTGCTGCGTGCAACTCACCAGTCACAAACCCTGCAGCTTGCAAGGAATTTCATATGCCGGTTAGTATTTCGTTATAGATATCTACCCTCAGTTCAGATTATGTATGGAAATACATTTTGTCATTAAAGCGTAAAGAATCATTTAAATCAACAATTCTTCAGTTATTCTACAATTGACCATGTCACTATAAATCAAGTAGGTTCAAGCAACTGTGTGTGTAAACTCTGTATATTATATATCCGTGTTTGTTTTCTTTCAGAGTTTATTAGACAGACCATTGAGTCGGCTCATGTCGTCATCGGCCGGGAGTTCCGGGAGGGAAACCAGTTCACCGACCACAAACCAGGCCCCTAAGTCAGGGAAATCACGTGACTCTACTTTTAACTGGTCTAGGAACAAGTGAGTGTGTATGTGATTATTGTGATGTTGAGTTACGGGTAAACCGCCCCTAAAACGTCACCTGTTTTTTGGGCCCAGATTGCCGAGTTAGGGCTAAATTTACAGGGTTCTGAAGTGTCTAGGAATAATATTTAAACCTTTTTCTAGCCTGCCAGGAAGATTTGGAAATTTGAAAATAAAATCAGGTACAATTTTTTTGACGTTGAAATGGAGTCACTTTTAAAACACCACCCCTAAAATGTCAACTCTATATTATGTGTGATAATTACAAAATGTACAGGAGGCCTGATTTATCTTTTGTCACTAGTACTATTTGTTTTGTCTTATTAAAACATTAAGCTACTTGAAAACATTCACTCACTAAAGGAAGTACCTCAAAACCGTAATCACCCCCTAAAATGTCACGTGCACCACCCCTAAAACGTCAGCTAAAACAGGTTGTGTAGCACTCAGAATAATGCTCAATTATTAATTTTAACCACTTCTGGGACAAATATAACCTATTTCTGAGAGGTGTCGACCAGAATTTCTCTCTCTGTTGAAAAAAAAATGGTGGAATTTAGTCAATTTACTTTTTGTGACATTTTGGGGACTTTTTTTTGAATACCCAGAACTTACGGCAAAAAAATAACTCAGTCAACAAAATTTACACCTGTAGTTAGATTATCTAGTTATAAACTAACAATTGGCACAAAAGAAATGGATTCAATGTGATTTTAACCTTGTGCAAATTGCATGTTTTAATTGCATTTTTTGGGATTTTTAACATCATCCTGCATTTTGGCAATTTTAGTGACCTGTAGTTAACTAAGCCAACCCAGTAATCGATCTGACCTTCTCTATATTATAGACTAGATTTGACTGCTTTTAGAAAAATTGAATGTCAAAAACTACGGTTTTTGGTACTTACTAGTTTATGGTAAACCTATGATATGCCCCCTAAAATGTCATTTTTTCTCCCCTAAAATGTCAAATTTGTATTTTGTTCGCATGGTATGCGGTAATAGCTCTTGTTTTGGCACTTGTTAATTATTAACATCAACTATTAACGAAATGTGAGTATGCATTGCATCTTAGGAAAAGCCTGAGCAATTTGATCAGGTTAAAATGACATTTTAGGGGGGATAATTAGACATTTTAGGGGATGTTTATTGCGATTAATAAAATAAAACTAATTCCTTGAGCTGCCAAAGCTTTCTAGAGGCTATAGAGGACAAACCATAATACTAAACGCAACGAATCTTTCGCACATATGCTCAAAATTTATTGGGCTACATTATTGACTTTCCAGTCGAGACCCAATTAATTACTAACAACTAAATAATCAGGCTAATTAGTCGTCATAATTGGAAAATATTTCACTTTACTTCTTGCCTTGATTGGGACATTAAAACTTTATGTAGGCTTATTTTGTTGAGGACAAAATAGTTGCGGGCAACGATTTCCTTGAGACATATGAAAAGCCCGTGATAATCAGATGTTCACAAACAGAGCTAGACGCTGTTTACTAACTGCGGTCGCATACGACCCACTCGTCCGGGTCGCAAACGACCCATCACGGTTTTTCGGCTTTAACTTCTGAAACAAATACGTTAGGATAAAATAAAAACTGTAGCATAAGTTAAAAACATATGGTCAATACTGTGTAACTCTAACTTTTTAAAAATAAAGAATTTGGGTCATTAACGACCCACTCGGCTCACTTGCTTATTACTACATATGTCCATGTAACTTCTTGAATTCAGCCTAAAGCATGACATCATAAGTTCAAAATTGCCTCCCAGCAAGTGATAATCATCATAAACTGCGAAAAATCGGTTAAATGGGTCATTAGCGACCCACTAGGACCACAAAATTGATTAATTAAATATAATGTTGTCAAACTTTTACAAATATTAGTATAAAAACATGTTATATCTTGGTCATTACTCCTGTACGTTGATTTAACTTTTAAAATCGATCAACTGGGTCAATAACGACCCACTCGGAAGTTGAACCACCTCATCAATTATTATCAGTATCATGCTGTTCCACCATCAAGAAAGACACTCGTAGGTCTTAATTCCACGCAAACCACGGGTGGCTGACTACTAGCCCTTCTGAGATCCAGGGCCAACTGAAGGGCCGTCATCACTCATCAAAGAGCTGCGAGAATAACACTACTGCATATGCCTGGAGTTGCGTCCTGACTATAATACTATGGTGCGTGGAAATCTGTACCGAAAGGACCGTGGCCGTGCCGCAAAAGAAAAGGAATCGGCCCTCGTTCCTAACTTGCTAGGTAATAGCCATGCTGTTGTTGTTGCTTATTAGATTCTGTTACCTTTTTCGTCAATTTCGAATCTTGGTAAACGACCTGCTACAACCCACCGCTTGAGACCCAGGGTCCCACGGTGATCAGATCATGTCACTCAAGAAAAATCCCCTGAACGAAGTATACGAGATATCATGTAACCTTGGGTAAATACTGAAAGACGAGTGGTCAAATTGCATATTCTAATCCAACATGCCAATATGTTTTTTTCATTCCTAGAAAGTACGAGAATAACTAAACAACTGCTGCATTCAGATGGCTACATCTACAGCTCTGTGAAGAAGGACAAGGAAAAAGCCCCCCCCCCCCCCCCCCCCCCTATTTGGCTGGCGGTGCTGCAACCTGCAATCTCTCAGACAACTACCTCGTTTTGGGTAACAAACCCCGCAACAACGAGGCAGCTTTCAAAACGAAAACAAGTATTACGTAATCGGCCGAGAGGGAGGGGAGTTTCCAAATGATTAAGCTTGTGTAATTTTGACATAATAGCTATGTGGTGGGGGGGGGGGCGTAAAAATTGTCCAATAAGTGATTACGTAATATATGAACGGCCCCTAAGAAGTAAAGAAAGGGAGCTGCGAAGAGAGTAGATGCAGCCATCTGAAATCTGAATCCAGCAGTTGTATAGTTCTTCTTGGACGTTCTAGGAATCGGGAAAAGATAGGCATGTTGTTTGCTGTCTCACGACATTACGGTCGTGTACTAACAGCTGATAAACTCACCTACCTATCAATCCAATTCTGCCCATTATTCGTCAGTCATTGGGTGACGTGATCTGCAGATTACCGTGAGACTCCAGATCTCAGAAGGGCTAGTAGTCAGCCACCCGTGGTTTGCGTGGAATTAAGACCTACGAGTGTCTTTCTTGATGGTAGAACAACATGATACTGATAATTAATGTCGTGGTTCAACTTTCGAGTGGGTCGTTATTGACCCAGTTGATCGATTTTAAAAATTAAATCAACGTACAGGAGTAATGACCAAGATATAACATGTTTTTATACTAATATTTGTAAAAGTTTGACAACATTATATTTAATTAATCAATTTTGTGGTCTTAGTGGGTCGCTAATGACCCATTTAACCGATTTTTCGCAGTTTATGATGATTATCACTTGCTGAGAGGCGATTTTGAACTTATGATGTCATGCTTTAGGCTGAATTCAAGAAGTTACATGGACATATGTAGTAATAAGCAAGTGAGCCGAGTGGGTCGTTAATGACCCAAATTCTTTATTTTTAAAAAGTTAGAGTCACACAGTATTGACCATATGTTTTTAACTTATGCTTTTTATTTTATTTTATCCTAACGTCTTTGTTTCAGAAGTTAAAGCCGAAAAACCGTGATGGGTCGTTTGCGACCCGGACGAGTGGGTCGTATGCGACCATAGCTGTATCTTTTAAAGTAAACGAGATACAGATTAGCTTTTTTGGATATCTCATTTTTGCTGTAAAGTGACCTAGTGTGTTAAACGGCATCAAAATCGGCAAACTTTAAAACTCGTCGTCCCTAATGGGTTAATGAATTCCAGAGTTATAAAATTGTGCGCTTTTTTTCAAAAGTAAAAAAGTCGTACAAAGTGAAAAAAATGCCCTTATGGCATCATTTAGATTAAATTTCAGGATGTGGCAGGGTCTGAATGATATTTTTTATGTTTAGGAGTTACAAATGATTAGGTAAGATACTTTCTAAGAAGATGGGATCCAATAAATCAAGAGTCAAGAGTGGCGTTTTAGGGGTGGCTGACATTTTAGGGGCGGTTTACCCGTATATCGAGGCAGGACAGATTATTAACAAACGACTGTCTCACAATCATTGCATGTTTTACAGGAAAATAGTCCCATTTGTAAATGATGTACCGTAAATACTAAATACTGTAGGCCTATGTTGTTTTCCCCCTAATATTAATCTCCATCTATTTTAGCGTGATGCTGAATCGGAACTACATAGTTGGAGGACAAACCAACCCCATATCTCAATCCAGATACACTCATTTCGGCAGACCTCGACCATTCTAATAAGCTGGCGCCTCTGTTCCAGTCAAGGTTTTAAGATATATATGGACGCGTTCATTGAAGTTTGAGGATATTGGTAAATTTCTAAAATAGCGTTTTCGACGATAGTGGCTTAATTTTAGCATCTATTAATCTAGCGTGTTCATAAGTTCTGAACATTAGCCACGTGACCCATACTCCCATATGCACTGCTCAGAAATAAAATGTATTGCTTTTAGGCACTATAATGTAAAAAATGTCACATTTTTGTGACATTGTTTACCATAGCTGCCCAATTATCATTCCTTGGTCTGAAATATAGTAGATTAGGTCAATCTAACAATTATGATACAACATTGGTTAAAGGGCACGGATCGAACGGCTTTAAGGCAATATTTCGTAAACTTTGTCACACTCAGAATAAGAGACCTCTTTTCTACTGTGAGGTGTCCTCAAAACCCTTTCAACTCATTATTTGATGGTTCTTCTGCCAATCATAGCCCTAAAATATGTTGTTTTGAAAAGTTAGCTAATACATGCACTTGGTTATTGGGAAATGGTGTAAATTCTGTCACATTATATAATGGAATTTGAAATTCTGGGTGAATTTCCGAAATCATTTATATCTGATTTTGGTGTGGAAGGCGGGAAAACTCTATATAAGGACGATACACGGATACAGTTGATTCAAGTATAGGGCAGTTGATGTAAACATCGTCACAAAATGATACGACATCATAAATAGGTTACATTTTGCGGGGAAAATCTATATAAGGACGATACACGGATACAGTTTATTCAAGTATAGGGCAGTTGTTGTAAACATCCTCACAAAATGATACGACATCGTAAATAGGTTACATTTTGCGGGAAAACTCTATATAAGGACGATACACGGATACAGTTGATTCAAGTATAGGGCAGTTGATGTAAACATCGTCACAAAATGATACGAAATCATAAATAGGTTAAATTTGGAAGCAATGATTATAGAATGAAATAGTCTGTGATTAACATATTACATACATTATTAAATGGGCAGGGGTTTTTATATTTCCTGTATCTCTGTATTAATCATTTCGGACTGTAATTAGGACTGTTCACGTGAAAGAAATTGTATCTAAATTTTACAATGACGTACTCGTATGTGACGAAATTTACATTTCTTGACCCTATTTTGAAGAACCATACCTCGGTTAGAATTCAATGTTCTTCCAGGAATTATAGGTTGGTTATTGTTTAGCAAAATAGAACTCAAGTTTAACAATGCTGAGTTTAATTTTACTAAGTTACTGAAATGTGACGAAATTTACTTTTCCTGCCCCAACAGTATAATTTCAATGTGATGAAAAATTGGCATGGGTTTCTACATTTCTTGTATAAATCCATTCCGACTATAATAAGGACTATTGGTAGGAAATAAAATATATCTAAATTTTAAAATTACGTATGTGACGAAATTTACATTTCTTGCCCCTATTTTAAAGAACCATACCTCAGTTAAAATTCAATTTTCTTCCAGGAATTATTGGTTGGTTATTTTTCAGCAAATCAGAACCCAAGTTTAACAATGCTGAGTTTGATATCACTAATTTACCGAAATGTGACGAAATTTACTTTTCCTGCCCCAACAGTATAATTTCAATGTGATGAAAAATGGGCATGGGTTTCTATATTTCCTGTATAAATCCATTCTAGCTATAATAAGGGCAGTTGATATGAAAGAAAATCTATCTAACTAATGCTATGGCTGATGTGACGAAATTTACATTTCTTGCCCCTATTTTGAAGAATCATACCTCAATTAGTATATAATGTTACTTTATCACCATCACTATGTCGATAAATTAGTTATTTTGCCAACACGGAGCAAATAAAGTTATAATATTTTTTTTGTGACGAAATTTACAAATTTTTACCCTGTTCAGGTGTTGAAATTTTGCCAATGTTAACATATCACTGCCATATAATAATTTATATGACCGGCGTATGGTTGAAATATTGTTAATTGATCCATAGTACGTAATATAGGGTGTTTAAGTTGGTATACTAATATTTACTCAATTTCACACATGTTGAGATATCATACAAATTTATGTGACTAAATTTACCTATTTCTGCCTTCTGTATTTGTATTTTCCTATAACAATGAAATATGTGAACAATTCCAAACACATTCAGCTCACAAAATAATGCTAGACTATTCGGCATTTCTTGTCAGGATGTCATAAACATCCCTCATATAAATTTCTTAAATGTGTGACGGAGTTTACATGGTGCTACCATTTAACGAAAAAAGTAGCTAAATATGTAGATAATAGTCATATGCAACTATCCTATAAATTTGAAATTCGAAAATTTGGTCAAACACGGCAACAAGGGGTTCATATAAACTCTGTCACATTTTTATAGTGTGACAAAGTTTACAACTCACTGCCGGCCGCATTTAAGCGATATCTTATCGTCTGATAAAGATATCGTTATGCGACAAAGTTTATCTAGAGGATGAAACGATTATCCTAACCATTGAGGGTTTATATAGTTTTATAGTGTGACACATTTTACATCATCGTGCCATTTAGTAGGGTCACTAATATTTACCAATATCCTCAAACTTCAATGAACGTGTCCATATACACAGTACACACGTCCAAAAACAATTCCTGTTCATCAGAATCAGAATCCCATGTTCATAAAAGATGAAGTTAAAATGTATCATTTTCCCATTTTCAAAATCAGTTATCGTTATTCATTCTTGATCAATGTTCTTATCTTAGACTTAAAGGTGTTAGGTTTAATTATTTGAGTATTCATCTTGTTATGGATACAATTTTCCCTTGTGCTCGTGCCAAGTTGGTAATATTACATATTTCCTGTGAATTTTTCTTATAAAAATTAAATTGGGACACAATTAAGTTTAAGCTAATATTTGAACACTTGAAAAAGAATTTTCCGTCAGCCGTTGTGGGAGTAAGATTTGAAATTTGTGTTAATAAATTGGTTAAAGTGAAGTGTTTAGTTGTAAAGCTTTAATGTACAGTGTAATTAGATCTACATTTTTGTTGAAAAATTAGTAAGCTTACTGTTTATTAAGTTGAAAGAAGCCTAAAAAGGTTTGGTGATACCGAATGTGTTTTGTTAGATGCTATTGTCAGACTTGTGATTGCTTTTTGGTTTTGAATCTAGTGTTTTTATTTGAATATCAGACCAAAAGTTTACCTGAAATCGCAAACACACCCACGGTCAACTGTCAAGCAGACTTTTCTCTGGAGCGGTTGTCAGTTGTACACGTAGGACACGTATGATATCTTAACTTAACGAAATCTACGCTCATCACAATTAAACGTGTCGTGCGTATTTATCTAAAAACAGCTCATCGCGCGCAACGTTTCAGATATAAAATATACTGCAGATGGTACCGGATAGGCCCACGTATGCTTGTAGGATTACGTAGAGATTGCGGAAAACTTTTTGCACATCCGTCATAACACACGGATTGCATCACAAAGTGGGTGTAGGCGGAGTGAAATACCTTCTAAATTCACTGTAAAAGCCTTTAAGTCACAAAACTTATCATAGTGATCATACGTGATTGTTAATACGAACTTGATTACGGATACCATCTTCATTACGATGAGCTTGTTTGGATATTGCTGAAACAAGCCTGCGGTTAACATGGAAATACCACTGCTTGCATTTGTGATGCAATATTATGTAAAGAACTGGGTCAGAACTAAGGAGTTGATCACATTCAGTGTTTCACTGATAAAAGGCGGACGGTTTTATCTTTGTGGGTACGATTCTATACACGTTCTCAAAATCAGGACTAACTAATAAGCTAGTGATCACGTGGCTCTACATGCAGTACATCCGTAATATATGGGAACAGGTTGATAACTATACATTGTACTATCTGCAGTAGTATGGTATCTACAACTTACGTCACTGGACAAGAACCTTGTTTACTCGCCGAATGACTCAAAGTAAAATAATGAACATACTGAGGCGGACCAACCCATTACTGCTCAATACATATGTACACTGTACATACAATAAAACTAGGTTATTTTTGGAGTGCGCACTCATTAAAGTTTCAAGTAACCTCAGAAAAGACTTGTTATTTTGAGCCAATTAAATTGCCGTGATTGATGGTTCTATTCAATAGATTACGTCACTATACCTCATCAAGATCTGTTCTCAATCCTCATTAGAATTGTACCTGTTATTCCAACCAGTTGCTTTGTTTTACGTGTCACAACGACAATAAAGCTTTTTCTTCAGCTAAACATACGTGTCCTAATACCTGGCTAATTTTCTAGACAACTGGTGGCTTCTGAGATCTTACTGCACCTGTTACATCTAATTAAAGCCTTTGTTAGAACAGCCACACTCAGTGCAGTTGCAGATAAAACTCGAACTTTGAAATCGTCAGTAAGAAAAAAGTAAGGACACGACATTTTCTTATATCAACCATTCAACATTTAAGTGAAATAAATACATAAAAATGCAATATATAACAAAGTCAACACAATATCAAATACCAATGGTGCTCAGATTCCCAGAAAAAAGTTCTTAGTAAACGAGAATCATCTAAAAATAGCAACACAAACTTGGATAGCGAACTTTAGGAGAAGGCCTTGAGCACAGCTCTACAACCAAACTGAACTGTAATTAACTTAACGACTGAGAAGAGTAACCGCCGGTAGTTATACTTTCTACATAAAAATCTGGATCTTTAATTCCACAGTCTGTGATTAAAATGGGCAAGGATGGTAAGAGAATTTAACCTAAGATGTGATTTGATTGTCCCGTGCCTATAACTCGTCCTTCTCTCCCTCTCCGCCTTCTTGTTCACCTTCAGGTGCACCGCCGGCCTGATCACCGTACAGTTTGGTTACAATTGGCTGCACAACACTCTCCATATCCTTCTTGGCTGCTTCGAGTTCCTCAGCGGTGGCGTTAGGGTTATCATCCAGGAATTTAATAGCCTTGTCGATAGCTGCTTCCATCGATGCTTTGTCCTCCTCTCCGATCTTGCCGCCCAATTTCTCTTGGTCTCCGAGTTGGTTCTTCAGTTGGTAGGCCATGCTCTCCAGAGCGTTTCTGGCTTCAACCTGTGCTTTCACTTTCTCGTCCTCTTCCTTGAACTTCTCGGCGTCGTTAACCATTCGCTCAATGTCTTCAGGGGACAGTCTGAAGGTATCATGACGTTAAATCAATGTCCAGGGATCACACTATATATGAGCATCAATCTCAAACATAGATAGTTACGAACTCTCAATAATGCTATTATTTATTATATCGAGTATAACAGTGTACACTGTTCTTGTTAAAATACTATCACATCGAAGTGAGCCAAGTATGTAACAAGGTCGCAATATTCCCTAATTTGCACCACCAATATCGCTATTGCTCCCAAACTATATCAAACTATGGACAGTGGACACGTACACTTGATAAATGAATCAAGATTAAAAATGACGAACCAAAATAGAGATTAGATGTACCCGCCATAATTAAAAGTTAAATTTACCTGTTCTGATCGTTGGTGATTGTGATCTGTTCTTTGTTTCCAGTTCCCTTATCCTCCGCTGACACGTGCAGGACACCGTTAGCGTCAATCTCGAAGGTCACTTCAATTTGAGGGACTCCACGAGGTGCAGGGGGTACTCCGGTGATGTCGAATTTTCCGAGGAGATGATTGTCTTTGGTCATGGGTCTCTCTCCTTCGTACACCTAGAATATGGTTCTTGTTAGAGAATCTATCCGAGCATTACATAGTTTCTTGATCAGGGTGGTTACAAAATTTAAAACAGAGGTAGAAGTGAAATAATGCTAACAAAGAAGAGAAATAAATAATTCTAACCTGAATGGTGACAGTAGGCTGGTTATCAGCGGCAGTGGAGAAGATCTGACTCTTCTTAGTTGGGATAACACTGTTCCTTCCAATGAGCTTAGTCATAACACCTCCCACTGTCTCAATACCAAGAGTCAGAGGACACACATCCAGGAGGACGATTCCACTGGTCTGGTCTTCTCCGGAGAGGACACCTCCTTGGATAGCAGCTCCGTATGCTACTGCTTCATCAGGGTTGATTCCTGAAATTAATGGGTTTAACAGAGTGTTGTTTGCTAGTTAATGAGCCGATAATATTTTAGATGAAGATGAAATGGAATCTCACAGAACTGTACTTGAACTACCCTTACAGAATACAGATTACAGACCATCACATCACCGTACCTTTGCTGGGCTCTTTGCCATCGAAGAAGTTCTTGACGAGTTGCTGAACCTTGGGGATACGAGTGGATCCTCCAACGAGTACGATCTCATCGATCTCACTCTTCTTCATGTCAGCGTCCTTCATTACGTTCTCTACTGGCTTCATTGTGGATCTGAGAAATTAGTTGTTTAGAAACAAATCTACACGAAGTGAATAGGGTGAATAGGTAGAATTTCCTTTCACGATTTAATTTTATAAGAGATTAAATACACTGCACAACAAATCGTATCATGTTAACTTACTTGAAAAGATCCATGTTAAGTTCCTCGAATCTGGCTCTGGTGATGGTCTCGGAGAAGTCCTCTCCGTCGATAAGGGACTCAACCTCAATTCTGGCCTGATGCTGGGATGACAGAGACCTCTTTGCCTTCTCAACCTCACGTCTCAGCTTCTGTACGGCCCTCTTGTCTGTTCGGATATCCTTACCCTTCTTCTTCTTGTACAGTTTGATGAAGTGCTCCATAACTCGGTGATCAAAATCTTCTCCACCTGTAAAAGATGTAGTTATTGAAAATAGTCTAAGATGTCATTACATAATGGATATACTGAGCTGGTACGTGTCATGTGTATAAACTGATCATCCGAATTAGAACAAAAAATACGGCCAGCTTGCACCTGCAAAGCGTTGGTATCGTGATATCTTAATTCGATATCATGGTATCCAAATTTGATTTAGTTATGCTCTTAGTTATGCTCTCCGAGGTTACACAAAGAAGAAATGTTCTGAGAATGACTGTATGAGATGTGTAATTAAAACTTACCAAGATGAGTGTCTCCATTAGTGGCAACAACCTCGAATACTCCGTTATCAATAGTCAAAAGAGATACATCGAAAGTACCACCACCCAGATCGAAGACAAGGATGTTCTTCTCGCCCTCCTTCTTGTCAATACCGTAGGCAATGGCGGCGGCTGTGGGCTCGTTGATTATTCTCATCACGTTGAGACCAGCGATAACTCCGGCATCTTTGGTGGCCTGACGCTGGGCGTCGTTGAAGTAGGCGGGAACGGTTACGACGGCGTTCTTAATTTCCTTTCCGATGTAAGCTTCAGCTGTTTCCTTCATCTGAAAGAATTGTAACTGTAAGACTTATGAATGCATGAGCACACAATTTTTACACTCGAGCAGCTGCTTTCATCAATGCGATTTAGCTAATATCTTATTAAAATTTGAAGAATAGTAATATCATATTTGAGAGAAAGTAACGATGTTAACGTAGACATACCTTAACGAGAACCATAGCTGAGATCTCCTCAGCCGCGAACTCTTTCCTCTCTCCGTTAACATCGACAACAATGTGAGGCTTGGTGTTCTTCTCTATGGTGACGAAAGGGAAGAATTTAATGTCCTTCTGGACATTGGCATCAGTCCACGGACGACCAATCAGACGTTTAGCGTCGAAGATTGTGTTAGTGGGGTTGGAGGTCAGCTGATTTTTAGCGGCATCTCCGATCAGACGTTCACCTTCTTCGGTAAAGGCAACGTATGAGGGGGTGATTCGGTTTCCCTGGTCGTTGGCAATGATTTCAACTCGTCCGTTCTTAAATACACCGACACTGTAAAGTAATGACTGGGTTAGCTCAAACTACTCAAATTAGGCACCATTCAATCAGCACAATCAGAACATTTCAAGTTGTAAGATTTAATCATGTATCAATATTGTACGCTTTTCCAAGATCGTGTTCTAAGACAAAGGATAAAGTAACTTTAACTCAATATTAATCGAATTACTAACCAAGAGTAAGTTGTTCCCAAATCAATTCCGATGACAGTTCCCACTTCATTCTCTTTCTTCTCTTCTCCTTCTTCGGCGAAAGCCACACAAAGTGTAGCTAACGCTACCACAAAGAATTTCATGCTTTGTATTGGACTATGGCGCCCCTAGAATATGATAGAGAATTAGCATGGTGTACGTGTCGGCAGATAATTAGCTTGGTGTACTTATTATTTGTAAGATTTTTTAGGGTAAATAAAATAGGATGACCACAATGAAGACTGGTAGAACTTTATGGTGGTCATAAATCAATGTGATTTTAGGTTTTGCTACTTGCTAGTTGCTAGGTTGTTCCCAGTTTCTATTCAAGTGAATAGAGCGAATAGTCTAGCATGAGATCATGACTCCGTACAGATATTTCAAATCAATAGAATGATCGGATACTGTCAGGGCCTATGATTGCGCTGTTAAGAAAAACTATGAGTAAAAAACTTTCGTAGCGTTGAACGGAAGGTGTACGAAAGGTAAGAAGTAAACATTTCACTAAGGTTTGAAAGAGTTAACTATACAAGGTCAAGTACGACGAAATGTAAGATTTAGTTGGGGCGGAATAAGCAGTCAATTCCGCTGACCAACCAGAAAAGGATTGAAGAATAACAACCCCTGGAGCTTACGTAGGCTTTATTAGAGCAGTGCGATAGACTACGTTATGCAATGGATGTATAGAATGTGTTGCAAATCTATTGGTCCACAAATTTCTTTTATCCAACGCGACAAACAAATTCACGCGCATACCCAAACTACAGTTTTGATACTCTCTATGCGCGGCTAACGTTTTCAACAAATAAGATTGCTTGATATTCAATATTACTAATAAGTATTTCGAAGTTGACTGTTTGACTGTGCCAAATTGTTACCCAATTATAATGCCACACAAATTTTACCTGAGGACCCCAGGCTATTATGTTCATTAACATATGAACATATGTATTTGGCGGAATGACAAGCTGAGCGCGGCCCAGTAACACAAATTTAGATTTAAAAAACGAGGTGTCCTATTAATAATTATAAAACATTTATTTACAATTAAAAAATATACATTATTTTGTTAAATTTGTGTTTTTATTAAAATTTCAATTCTTTGAAATAAACATTAAAACTTTTACACTATAAAAAATGAAATCTGAATAAAATTTCATGAACACACTCAAAAATGTATTCAATTTATAAAATAATAACATATAATATATAGTTATACATCACAATTGGATGTAATTGCACAATTAAAATTTATTTTATCATGTTGTTTTGCAAATTTATATTTATCTTACTATATTTTAATAAAAATATCGATGCAATTAAAATATCTGGACCTAGTTTAGTTAGTGTTTACTTTAGCTACTTAGCATATAAAGCTGTGTTTTATTTTTTTTATTAAAAACACAAATGACAAAATTGTAAATAAAAACTGAAAATAAATACTCAACAGTAAAGAGTCTTATTGGTAGGAGCCGCGCGCTTATAGTATTGCGCTCAAATCTAGCTAGATTATTTGTTTCAATTTTGCGGAGTATCTCTATGGCAATTTTCGCACGATGGCTGTCTGGTATTGTGTGACGTTCATGCGTATCTGCCCCTTTCTGATGGTTTGCGGTAGAAAATGTTTCTCCACTTCCTTAAACATCGTGTTATTTTATTCTATATCTCGTTTGTAGTGATTGGATTCTTTCCAGCGAATATTTTAATCAATATTTAAGCTAATGCTCGATGCATTTGCTGTTTTCTGACAGTGCAGCTTTTTTGACGGTGCAGCTTGCTTGATAATGTTAGGATTATTACCTATATTTAACTGGGTTGGCCCGGATTATTACCTGCCGCAATTCATTACATAACACAAGTATCGTTTCCTTTCTAGCTATAAGGGATGAACCGTGAACGAAGAGATCTGCGAACCACTTACCACAATTTCGTTTAATTCTGACTGGTGATTCTTTGATGATTGCTATAGTCAAACTCGTTAGATAATCCCCTCAGATGCAGTTAAAAGATTGACTGAATTGTATTCTTAGAGTTACCCCATCTCTGAACGTCATCAGTACTTAAGAAAGTTACTGAATTCAATGCAAAGGTTTAAAAATAACAGAATCCAAAGAATAAAAGTTACATAGTATATAAACTGCTTGTCAAAGATTACAATTTGTGTCCGCCTGCGCCTTACCCCCTCAGCGCTTTTAATTAGTTATAGGTTCTTAGGGCGTCAGCATACAAGCCTACCCTAATTAAATTTCGTTAAACCATTTAAATATGTTAGAGTTAGTTTAATTGCGACTCGAAGTGGGATGGTTACAACTCTCTGATAGGATGCAGCTGTCATAACACCTGCTCTGCATTATAAAGCTCCAGTTTGCACATTAGTTTGTGCTTTCGTCAATAACTATGTAAGCTAAGCTTCGATCCTGTACACCAGTTACTTAATATCTGTCCTCTAGATTTTATTATCATGTAGTTTTTGTGCAGCCATACCACTTAACTACGTTATAAATGCCACCTCTCGAAATTTAAGCCAGAATTTTTGCTAGTTTTCCTCTTAGTGAGTCGAGTCGTAAATCCTCCATTATCTGAAAGAAGTATGATTTCATCACAGCTATCGAATATAAATTTCTTAGAATCTTTGTGTGGCAAAGTGTGACTACCTTCTATCATTGATACCATCAAAGAAATTGAGAATTGCTTAACTTTAGAGTAAGTTAGACTGGAAACACATATGGAGCACAGTGTTACACGTCTTCTGTCTTCTCCTGCATCGGCCACAGTCCCTCTCTTGAGTGTCCATTGGACAAGGGAATTATTGTTTGGTTTTGATACCCAGTACCCTTGACTTAATTCGGGGGTTTAGCAAGGAATCGTTACAAGAAGTCTCTAGAACAGGTTGAAGGAGTACTTTGTATGTTTAATAGTTTAAATGTTTAATAGTTTAATAGCTTTCTTACAAAAGATCTAAGGCTGGTACAACTGGGTAGTTTTTAAATCACACGTAGCACGTACAGGGGCCCTGAACATGGTTCGACATCCTAATTCCTAGATAATGTCTAAAAAGTTTAGTCTATAATAGTAAATGTATTCGGTCTTCAGAGTCGTGCAATACGGTCGTTACAACACTTTAACGTTACGTTACGATACCTTTGTTAATTGTTACAACCTCTCCGCTACGTTCTCACAGTGCTGAAGACTGTAAGGAGACAAGTTAAAACGTTGCTTGTTACTCTTTCTTGAGGTATAAAGTGCTTCAAACGAGCTAAGCTATTAACAGTTGCCGATAAAGCCTTCCGAATGACATAATTTCATTTCTATTTCCTTCATATTCTATTGCGAGCTAGCTACAATGATACTTCTGAATCATATTTCAGAGCCTGTCGGTACTCTCATGCAGTAATATCGTTGGTTACCATGGTTGCCACTTTTTATCTGGCCATAAATTAATGGGAGATTTGCTAAATTTAGGTATTCCTTGCCAGATTTTATTATCAAAATTGATTAAATCTTAGATTTGTTTCCTTACCTTAGACTGACTTGATGAAAATTAATAGTAACTCCCACGCTAATATTCATGACATAGGGTGACATAATTTTATAGAAAAATTGATATATCAAATTATGTTAGGGCCCAGGGAAAATCATGGTATACAGCTGAATGAGGATCTCGTAATGGGTACGAAGGTCGAACTTCACCAATTTATCGACCTTTCTGTCGACATACACGAGCAGAAGTCGACAGTAAATTTTGTGTATCTAAACAGAGTCCTCCATGAACTTGTGAAGCACCTTGGAATCGGAAATTTAGAGGTAAGATTACGTAGAATTAATGTTTAGCCTTGGAAATCATTACTTTGCTAATATAATTATAAATCTTTTTTTGCTCAATTTCATTTATTTTTGTTGAAAAATTTAAAATCCTACAGACAATTTTAACCTCACAGAAAATTTAAATCCTACGGATTTACTCTCTCAGTTATTTCATTTGACGCGACCTTAATTCCGTCTTTAAACGAATCATTAAATTAAACCCATTTCAGATATTAATAGAAGATGGTAATGATCGGCCACCTTCTCCTAAACAAACCGTTTCCTTGCCAAACGTTGCCTTGACTACTGGTAAGTGAGGATTTTAAATTATTGTAATATCAGACAGCGCGTCTTGGTCGTATTACTATTACAGTTACTTTTCAATGCATCAAACTTAAGCTTATTCTTTCAATTATTCTTTACATTAATTGTGATTCGTTCTAAGTTGTATAAATTGCTATTTGCTTGCCAGCCTTTGTTTTGCGTTGAGTCGGACCGTTTACAATTTACATTGGTCAAATTTCTGCACTGCAAAATAGCATACGTGTTAAATTAATCACTTTTAAAACTTGTGCAGTCAAAAAGACCAAATCATGTAAAACGAACTTGTCCTGCAATGAAGGTGGTTCGTGGTAATTGTATCGTGAATTGCACAAGATGTGGTCACGGAGAGTTGTGGTTTCCAGTGATTAGAGTGAACAATTCCGACACGTGTTCACTCAGCGGCTATGCATGTGCTGACTGCTGTACGATCAAAGTTCAATATTCACTCTTATTTATGAGGATTTTATCGCTAAAACTTAGAATATCATTCAAATTTCGCAAGCAAGTAGTTTAATTTATCCATCATGTTTTCTACTCCACGATTAAAAAACTGCCAATTCTCTTCAGAGCCTGATTCGAAGCCAGTTGAGTCTACTATGAGCGTTTTATCGGATTCAGATAACCAAGTGATATCGGACTTGAAAGATAAAGTTGATGGACTGGAAAAGAAAATAAGTGTTATGGACGGATTAGTGCCCGATGAAACAAAGGTTTAAATAAGTTTATTATTTAAATTATAAATCGTAAATTGAGATTTAAAAGCTTCCTTTTGGATCCTCTCGTGTTTACGAGCCGGTTCGTAGTCCTCGACTAAATGAACCACAAACTACTATAGTGTAATCTGTATCAACTTATCGAAGGGTTCATCACTTATTAGCTGATAAGTCACAAAGATAAGGTCCTGTTAGGAGATAAGATAAGGTCCGGTTAGGAGCTCACTAATGTTCACATTGCACTAGTATGTAACTAACGTGACATATAACTTATAAACTGTGTTGTGGGTTTCAACTGATATTCTTATTGTGGTAATGTGAATCGTGACACAATTCTAAACTTTTAAGTCATAGATAAAGTAGTGCAATTTTAGAAATGAGATAAAATTTTAACTACGGTTTTCTTTGATAAACTCTTAAAGTATGACGAATACTTTCAGATGCAACATACGGAATCAATGATTGGAGACATGTGGAACTTTGTTAATCTTGGCAAACGTGTTGATGGTTGTGAAGACACCCTTGAAACGGTAATTCTTACTTTTTGAGAGTATTGTTGAAAGTTTATTTAATTTATTTGCTTGTTACCAGCTCTTCCGAGGCTGACCTTCCCCCTTCCATACCTCCAACCAACATTTTTCTTAGCACGCCAAACTGATCGACGGAATCCGGAAAGAAATAAAGGACTTGAACTCTTACAAATTTTATCTGGACCAACTCAAGGAAAACTCAACTATTGATCTACGAGCTATGATTGACGGACTTATCAGTGACATGGGCGAGGTGAGTCCTAAAATTTTCATCAACTTAGTAAATTAATTGGAATTGGACGAGATTATTAGTCTATTTATTGCTCTATCACATATTCATTCGAATCAAGGTCTTTAGCATAAAGATATAATTTTCACTAATTTTAAAATATAAAATATTTTCTTAGAAAACCAAAAAGATTAACGGACTTACGGACAAAATACGGGCTCTGGAAAACTCAAAACCGGGTAGGCTAATATTCAATATCTTGACACTCTGATTCAGTACTGAGTACTTAATACTTATTAGTTATTGAGGTCGATTCTTTATTCATTTGATCATGCGTATTTGATATGCTCCTGATTTTTAAAGTTTTCAATTATGGTAACTGAATGAGCTTCGTCTCTTTGCAAGTTGAGAGTTCGTTTTCTGTCTACTTGATTTGTGTGTGATTAAAAAAAAGAACAAAGAAACAAGGGCTAAATTTTGTCATTGTAGTTTGCAGTGCACGATGATATTGTTCAAGACTTCACTGAAGACAAAATTGCTTTAAAATTCACGGCGTATCTTTGATACGAACTTATGTGTTTTGCCAATATTCAATATCCATAGCATTTTCAAGTACATACTATTCTACTGGAGGGCAATTTCCGCTTTCAAACCGTGGGATCTCTTTGAGAGCAAGTTGCTATAGGGATGTGTGCTTAAAGTTGTATAGGGATGTGTGCTTAAATGGCCGTTCTAATCCGATCCGAGAGTCATTCATGTGGTCGGGTTGGTATGTTTAAATACCTAACAATGGTATCACAACTCCGGTTTGATAGTGTGCTTATCGTGGGCATTGTGTTCAGCTGTAATTTAAAGTTTTCCCGAGGACGAACTATTCATCACATTGAAATCATTGGCGGTATTAAAATATCATGCAGCAAGCATCGTGTTTAGCGCGGCGGTTTATAGTTAAATGCTTATCATTTGTATCAAGTAACCAATGATAACAGTGTCGTATTTCAGACGAGGCACTGGCTCAAGAACTGGCAAAGAAGGTTGAAGGTTTGATAAAACTCAAGGATGAAATTGATGGCAAGATGGCGGGGTTACCCACTCGGGCGGACATCACAAACATACAGGAAAACTACGTGTCATGGATCGGACTGGATGAGATTTTAAGGAACTACAAGCCACCACGAACCCCTGCTCCCCCCTCACGCGAGGGAATTGCAGCTCTTCAAAAGGCTGACGAACTGGACCAAAAGACTGACGATCTTGGAGACAAGATTTCTGGACTGGAAAAGGAAGTTATTGGAAAACTGGACAAGGACGAATTTGCTGCAAGGATCGAGGACGCTATTAAACAGCGACCTCCTTCCTCGCGAACTGAACAGGCACGAAAACATTTCACTGAGGCTCTTCAGGATCTACAGGACCGCATTGCTGCTCTTGAAGGTACGGTACTATAGTTTTGTCAATTTAAATTGACCCCTAAGTATCCAAAAATATGTACGCATGAAAGGCTGTAATTTTTAGTGATCTCACGGAACAAGTTCCTCTGATGACACTATTCTTGTTTAAACTAACTAAGGATATATTTTGCAGCTGGAGGTAAGAATAGAGATAATATTCGGTAGGTTGGCGTCGCTTAGGCCCTAGCTAGACTGAATCTAACGCATCATGTGTTGCATCACGTGATGCGTTAGAAACAATGCCTTCTTTGTGGTTTTATCCCGCTTCATCTTCTAATTCACCTCAAATGTAAACTTGAATGTATCATTACGTCATGTCCACAATTAAAACTCTATAGAAATGCTCCGCAAACTCAAACGAAATTATCAATATCTCTGAGGCAACATTTGCGAATCTAAATACACGTTGGTGCAATTGTAAACAGTGAGATCATATGATTTGCATATTTTGTTTAAAATATGTTTACAATTGGTATTTGCTACTTTCTCGAAGGAGTACCAATTGCCAACATGATCATATTAGGACAATCATAATGTTTATTTTTATTGATGTCAAATCCAACATTGCATTGATCATGCAAGTTTCGGCATGCATTTACTTTTTGAACATGCATCAAATGTACATCTTATTTTATTTACGACATCGTACGAAAATTTCAAATCACCAGTACCTACTCACGTCACGGTCTTTAAATAGTTATTTCATGATTTTATAATAATTTACGTAATATAATGGAAAATTATCCAAGCTGATCTTGGAGACAAGATTTCTGGACCGGAAAAGGAAGTTATTGGAAAACTGTACAAGAACGAATTTGCTATCTCATATCATGGTTTTATAATAATCTACGTAATATAATGGAAAATAATCCAAGCTGAAGTACGCTGAATTAAGCTTTGCCGCTACGCTGATTCCGCTTGATTCAGTCAAGCAAGTGATCAACACTTCGAACCGCCGAATCTTATGCGTGAGCAGCTATCATGACTTAGCAAGCATTATTCTATTAATTCAAGGGCTTAGCATCCGAAATTTTAAGATTATCATTAGCCCTCCATATTGAATTCAACGTTGGACATTCATGCGGTCGGAATTTGATAATAGGTGATTGCATATCATACATACATGTATTTAGAGTTCTTGGTCTTAAGTGTAAATCCTTAAATTAGAAAAGCACGGTTCACTGGACTGAAATTAATTTCACTACATCATCTTTTGTAATGTAGAGAACCAATTATTGAACCTGTATGAGTGTATGATGCTTTACTGTAGCTTATTTGGCCCACTATGTCATTATCAATTATCATGTCACCTTTCACAGAAATGGAAGATGAGCAACAACCAATAAACATGATTTCACCCCTGCCACGCATCAACCACGCATCTGCATCTGCATCACCGTTACCAATGTTCCGGGAAGATTTTATCACATCTCCAGTTCCACTCGCCATACTTCCACCAATTTCAAGGAGCCCTTCACGATCGGCACTACTAATGGAAAGCGTAAAAGAAAATCAGATTTTATTAAAGAAATCCCAACAGAGACTCCAAAATGGTCTGTAAATGTTTATCCAAATATTGAAATGGGCTACAGTAAAGCATCTTCATAAAATACTAACATAAAAAGCATCCTCATAAAATGCCAACTTTCTTTGCGGACTTGCTTCACGATCTTTCAAACGCTGAAACATAGCCATCCTTAGCAACATGCAGTTTTATCATGCCTCCATGTGCTGTGTCCACCTCATTAATGTTCATGCTCTACTGTAGCCTTGTTTTAAACTTGAGGACATTTTAAAGTCTCCAGTAGATTTAAAGTGCCAGGTGTCTGGTGTATCTTGGTTATGGTGCACATGGAATCTAATTTTGAAATTACTATCCAGAGGAACATAAAGATGTTTATCAAACAAAATGTCATCAAGAATTACATCACAAATGTTTCATATCTCTAATTTCATGTGTTCGTTCTTCAGCTGAATTCGGTGGTAAGGCTCTACCCGACGATCTGAAGTCACAACTGGAACTTCTTCAAAATGGAGTGAATAATGCTTTGAAAGCAGCCGAATTGGTAAGAATACTGATTAAATAAACTGGTTATTTGATTAATCATTGTGTCGTATTAGAGAATCAACCAACAGCGCATATTGGCATATGCCTTGGAGTAAATATAACTCTTACATTTTGTAGTGTACTCCCACGTTTACAGTGATTTACACTATAGCAATAAGCTGTATACATGCTCTAGTTGTAGGTAATAGCACCTAGTAACCAGGCTATAATCAATTTATCTGGATCAAGTTACCCCAGTACATCCAGAGCACTCAGCTCTACACTCTCAGCATGACAACTAATGTTTGCTCTCCGAACCGGCGCCCAATTTCTTTTCACTGCCACTTTAGTACCTACTTTAGTGACAGCAATTTTTTTGGTCAGTTGATCAATTTGTCTCGCCATAAATTACTTGGAAGTGATCTTATCATTACCAACGATCTATTCAGATCGGAGAAATAAGCCAAGAGAACGAGACAAACAAGGCGGCAATATCGGAGCTCAATGGCCAGATCGAGGACATCATGGACAGATACAAGATTCTACAAGATTCTATTGATAATTCACCGAAGCCAACAGCTGTATGTTTATCGTTTTTATTTAATAAGATCAATTACTTGACTCAAAGTACGATTTGACACCAACCAGGACGATAACCACAGTGCCAGGGATATCCAGGCCCTTCTTTCAAAGAGTTCTTCTATTGACCCACCTGCCCCTAAGAAGCCCAAGGTGAAGTGGCCGGCCGCAAAGGATGAGAGGTGGGTAGAGTTTGATGTGAGTGTTAGTAAGAGAGTGAGACAGGAGCAGAAGGGGAAGCCATTCCAGGAGAAGATGGTGAGCCATTGCGACACGGTGTATGATGATGGTGTGAAATGGTTTGGGCTCGTGATTGATGGTGCAGAGTCAGGTAAAGGTCTCAGGTTTGCCAACAGGAGACAGGAGGAGATTGATAAGTTGGTCATTGAGAGGAGAGTGCTGAGGAGGAAAGCCAGGAAAGCTTGTTCCCAGTCTGTAAAGGATGGTTTCAATGCTTTGCTTAGAGGCCTGGCAGAGAAGCTGTGTAAGTTGAGAAGAGCAGAGGCAAGGAGGAAGAAGCAGAGAGAAGTGAGGAGACAGAGAGGTGGGTTTACTCGAGATCCTTTCAAGGCTATTAAAGGTATTCTTGAACCAAGCCCTGTGGGAGAGTTAAAGTGTAGTAAGGAGGAGTTAGACAACCACCTGTCTAATACGTATAGTGATGCCAGTCGGGCAGTTCCTCTTGGCGTTCTGAATGGGTTACCTGAGGCAGCTCCTAGCCCAACTGTGGGGTTTGACAGCAGGAATATAACCAAGAAGCAGTTCGAAGAGGTTGTTAAGAAAGCCAGAGGTAAGAGTTCACCTGGTAACAACGGCATCCCGTATACGGTGTACAAGAGGTGTCCAGGAATATCTCAGAACTTGTGGCATGTGCTGAGAGGAGGCTACAAGGCTGAGGAGTACCCAGACAACTGTAGGTACTTTGAAGGGATCTACATTCCTAAGGCGGATGGAGATTTTGGACCCAGCACAGGACGTCCTATATCGCTAGGAAACATTCAGGGGAAGATATACCTCGCTGTGTTGGCGAAAAGATTAACCAACTTTGTTGTCGCTAACGGGTATGTGGATCTCTCTGTGCAGAAGGGTGGAGTTCCTGGTGTACACGGATGTACAGAGCACTTTGGAGCTATGTGGGAGGTGCTCAAAGATGCTAGAGTTAAGAGAAAGGATCTGAGTGTTGTCTGGTTAGACTTGGCGAATGCTTACGGGGCTGTTCCACATTTACTTATTGTGAAAGCACTCCGCTTCTATCATATCCCCGAGAAAGTTATCAACATCGTTATCAAATACTTCTCGGAAGTTTACGGAAGATTCTCCTCTAAAACAGTGACATCAGAGTGGCAGCAGTTCGAGATAGGAATATTTATGGGCTGTGTCATCTCGGTGATCTTGTTTGTGCTATGCATGAACCTTTCTGACGAGTACTTGAAGATGAAGGTACCCAGGAGTGTCGAGTACATTAAGGATGGAACAGCTATACCACCCCTTAAGCTGTTTATGGATGATAGCTGCCTTACCACGGCTAAAATGGTAGATATGCAAACCCTGCTTGATGTTTATCAGGAGTTCGTTGTGTGGTCAAGGTTCAAGCTTAAGTCGTCTAAGTCTAGGGCACTAGTCTACCAGAAGGGAGTGACAGTGGAGTGGGTTGTAGAGAGTTCAGAAGGTAGTCAGGCGAGGTTGCAGCTTAGCGGGGAGGTGATCCCGAATGTATCTGAGAAACCAATCAAGTTTCTAGGGAGGTGGATTCGGGCAGAAGGAAAGGACAAAGCTATAATCGAGAAAACACACGAGGATCTTGTTACATACCTCAGTAGACTCGATCTTAGCTCCCTCACCGGCCTGCAGAAATGTTGGGGGTATCAGTATATGGTCCTTCCAAAGATGAAGTGGCCACTTGCCATTTATGATATCCCGATCAGCACTGTTTCTCGCTGGGAGCAAACAACTAACAGTCATCTCAGAAAATGGCTAGGAGTGGGACACACGCTTAGTAGCTCTTGCCTGTTTAGTCATTCATCCAGTGTTGCTCTCCCCATCGACAACCTAACCGACACTTGGAAAGTAGAAAAGTGCCGTCTCTTGCAGTCATATCAAACATCTCAGGATGCTTTGATCAGAGCGGTGCAACCCCAGGTGCGGTCTGGGAGAGTTTGGAAGGCAGATGCTCAGCTTCACGAAGCTGAAAGAGACTTGGTGTGTGAGTCAGTGCGAGGTATGGTGCAACCTCTTAGTAGAGCGGGAATTGGTTTCGGTGATTGGAAGAAGCCCTGGGAGAAGATGTCAGAAAAGGAGCAGCAGAGGGAGGTGTTGGATAGGGTTAAGGAGAACATCAGGAAGGAAAGAGAGGTGCAGTTGGGTACGTTGGAGATGCAGTCCAGGTGGGGTAATTGGAGAGAGCTGGTGACAAGGACTGACATGAGCTGGCACACGCTCTTCAAGTATGGGGACTCATCAATCGGTTTTCTGCTTAGTGCTGTGTATGGCACGCTTATTACACCAGCTTTAGCATCCAAGTGGAGCGAGGATGAGGATGGGATGTGCAAGCTGTGTGGTGACAAGTTGGGAACTGTGCCGCATATTCTGGCTGGTTGTCCTGTGGCACTAAGTCAAGGGAGATACCGATGGCGCCACGATAAGGTGCTTAAACAAATAGCAGACCAAGTGAAATTCCATTGTGAGCGGAGAGTCAACAAGAGGAAGAGCTCTTGTGTCACTCGGAAAGCCATTGAGTTTGTTCCAGCAGGAGGGAGGTTTAAGGAGGTGAAGAGGTCGAAAGTCAGTGAGTTTGGGATTCTGAGTGGGGCCACTGATTGGATAGTATTAGCAGACCTGGATGAGCAGCTGAAATTCCCGTCGGATATAGCAACGACCAGATTAAGACCAGATTTGGTTCTTTTCTCGAAAGCTTCCAAGAGAGTAATCTGGTGGGAGCTTACAGTACCGTCGGAAGAGAGAATAGCTGCATCCCATGAGCTGAAGCTTGATCGGTATAACAGTCTACAAGCGGAAATACAAGCTAATGGGTGGTCATGTTTCAGCTTTGCTGTTGAGGTTGGTGCTAGAGGTGTGGTCGCAGCAAGTTTGGAGTGTGCATCAAGGAAGATTGGTCTGACTGGGAGAGCCCTCAAGAAGTTGGTCAGAGATTGTGGGAAGGATGCAGCCCATTGTTCAAGATGGATTTATCTGCTGTCTAGGAAAAGAGAGTGGGAGATGAGAGCTGTTTGAGCTTTATGACTTCACCTAACAGCCAGAGGTGCCATAAGCTAACTCGTCGTAAATCGCGAGCTCTAGCAGGTATCCTCGGGTGATTGTCAGATCAGATGGTGGTCCAAGAGAGACTGCTGGGGCACCTGACAGAAAACCGTATCGCAATGAAAGCCCCGAAACGGTGTCAGGTTTGTGACTGAAGATTCTGATCAAGCTCAGGGTTGAGTCTACACAGTGTCGCCACTTGCCGATGCCAGTTGATGCGAGAAGACACTGATGTAAGTGGGAAGTTATGTCTAAGAAACAGCGTGTGGTTCGGGTGCCGGTTGAACGCATGTAAAAGGGAGGGTATATCCGTATTTCGCTGCTAGTGATGCAGTCCTTAGCCCGGTAGCTAAGGCTTCCCCGTTTCTCGCTCATTTGTGCTCCGATGGGCTTGTGACCTCTGCGGGGGTCAAGTGCAGGATGAGGGACATGGCTGACCAGGAGAAGGTTGTTTTTGGGAGATAGAGTAAGGTTGGTTTGGTGTTGTGCCTTCGCAGTTTAACTGTATCTTTACTCTATACTTGACTCAAAGTACGATTTGACACCAACATTTAAGGGTTTGCTCTTGAGCCCTGTTTTTAACTTTTAATTTCTATGACGAAAGTAGTTCAATTTTCATGTCTATTTGCTATCAAAAACCAAATTTTTGCATCTTGATTGGCCAGTTTAACACTTGCAAAGAATTGATATTTTGTTGAGCGGGCGCGGAAGATATTTTGTATAAAACTGCACAATTTTTTGCGCCGCGCATTATATATATTCATTTAAAGCCGCGCAAAACCATGTGGTTCAGAAAGTTTAGGCTAGCTTAGGGCCACACCGATTTAAAAAAATGCCCAAATGGACTTTAGGTCATCTGTATCTGGGACTAAATTTGACTGTATATTTGAGTTTGATGTTGGAGAAGAAAAAGTTATTAATTGTAAAAGTACTAATGTTATTTATCTTTTGAGCTGTAAATGTTGTAATTCTCAATATGTAGGAGAGACTGTGCAAGAACTTAAGGATCGTATGTCGCAACACCGTGGGACTACGAATCCTACTGGAAATTCGGGAAATTTTAGATTGAGACAGCATTTTTTAGAATCTATTAATTGTAATTCGTTTAGTGTTCAAATTATTCAGAAATTTGCAGGTACGGGGAGAACTGGTGTTAAGCGTCCTAATTCTACTAAATTTGTTATTGATGAAAGTATTTCCAAAATTAGGAAAGGACATGAAGATCGTTAGATCAGAGTACTTAAAACACAATTTCCTTATGGGGTTAATGATAGGATTGATAGTTTAGAAAATAAAGATAGTTATAATTGTGAATATGCTAAATTTATTTCTTGTAAAGATAGTTCTCGAAAGAGATCCTGGGCTGATAGACAGCAAAGCGATTTATCTCAGTTTGATATTGACAATATTTTGGGTGAATTACTACGTTTAGTTGTTGAACCTTTTCACAGTGACGTTAATATTTTATTACGTAAATTATTGTTTCCTTTAAATAAGTCTACACTAGTTAAACTTAAAGAGAGCTATTTAAATAAAGTTTTTCAAATTGATAACCTAGACCCTAGTAGATCTCAGATACATTGTATTATAATGGACTTATTCACTTATAAAATTAGACCTTTTAACTCGAGAACTGATAAAAGTAAGAGCGTCCGTAAGCCTAAAGTTTTATGTTCTATTGATTTTGTGAACAAGGGTATTGAAATGTTAAATTTACCTAGAGTTTTTAGATCTCCTAGTTTGAAATCGTTTGTTAATTTTTGTAACATTAAGGAACCTACTGTTGTATATAAAGGTACTGATAATGTTTCTAAGAAGTTATTTAATTATAATAACGTTGTTAAGGGAGACACTGAACCTTTAGAATGCAAATGTCATATGTTTACTGATTTCGTAAATCAGGATTGTGGTCATGTTGTGACTGGGGATGTTAATTTTGTAAAGCACGACGCCTTGAGAAGTCTGTTAGAGAAAGGTCCTTCTTATAAAGAACCTAAAACGATTGATTTTGATAAGAATTGTAATTCGGTAATAGATAATGTTAAAGAAATCTTAAAACCTTGGAGTAGGAAAGAGAAAATCGATAGTGCATGTTTAAATGGTTGGTTTAATGAATTTAGTGACATTGTTAAGAAGAATACTGAAGCTCTTAAAATGAAATATCCTAAACAGCTTAAAAGGAAATCTGTGTTTAGTAATGATAAAGCTTGTGAAGAATTAGCGTTTATTAGAAAGTATTTTGTTTTATGTCCGGTGGACAAAGCAACTAAGAACGTCGCTATAATTTGTAAACATTATTATTTAAGTGATATTATACAAGAGTGTCAATCTAATGAGGGTATTGATGATGTTAGTGGGGAGCATGATGTTCGTGATATTAACAGAGATATTTTCAAGTTCATAGAAGACGTTGGGATAAAAGTAGATTCTAATATTGATAATTTGCCTCACATGTTTTCGAGTCCTAAATTTCATAAGCCAATTTTAAAGTTTAGGTATGTTATTTCTTATGCTAATTGTAGTATTAAGCCCTTGGCAGTAAAGATTTCTTTAGCCTTAAAGGCTGTTTATTCAGAGATCTGCCGATATACTAACATGTTGTTTAAAGTAACAGGAGTTAATAGGAATTGGGTCATTTTGAATAATAAGCCGATTTTAGAAGCTTTAGATAAAATTAATGATAATAGCTTAGCGAGAAACTTCCAAACTTTTGATTTTTCTACTTTATACACGAATTTAGCCCATAAAGATATCAAGGATGCTCTCAAGTTTACTGTTAAATTAGCCTTTAGGAATAGTAGGAAGAAGTTTATAGCTGTTTACGATAAAGGGTCTGCTTGGGTTAATAGCTTTAGAGATGGGACTGTGGCTTTTGATGAAGTTAAGTTGATTAAATGTGTTGAGTTTCTACTGGATAATTGTTACTTTAAAGTAGGAGAGATCTTATATCGGCAACATATCGGTGTACCTATTGGAATCAACCCTGGTCCATATATTGCTAACTTAACACTTTGGTATTTTGAGAACAGTTTCTTAGATAGTACGTATAAAAATAGATACTATATTGTAAAGAAGTTAAATAATACATTTAGACTTATAGATGATATTACTACCCTTAACTCTGATGGTTACTTAGAGGAATATTTTAAGTTAATATATCCAGACTCACTTACTCTTAATAAGGAAAATGAAGTATATAGTGCCGCCAATGTATTAGATCTTGATATTTCGATAAATAGAGAGGGGAAGTTTTCTTGTAGAGTTTATGATAAAAGGGATAAGTTTGGTTTTAAAGTGGTTAAGTTTCAACCTTTGATGAGTAATCAAGCTAGTAGTGTATTATATGGCACGTACTGTTCACAGGTTGTGAGATATTCTAGGATTTGTAATAACGTTGTTGCTTTTTCTGATAGGGTTTTGAAATTTACTGATGATTTAATTGAGTTGGGTTTTAGACGGGATCGTCTTAGTAAAATATACTTATCTGTGGTAAAGAGGCATGGGCTAAAGAATAAGTTTGGTATTGGGTGTGGAAATATATTAATGCCATAGCTTGACCTAATGGCATCTATTTCTATTGTTGCGATATATTTGTTGCACGTGTTGAATTTAGTTTTATAATAACTTTGCAACGGCGCAAATCGGAGTCTTAGAATTGCGCGGGAGATCTATTAGTTTAATTATTGGGTCAGTTCGTTTTATGACGTGTTGACTACGTTTCAATATACTTTATCCTTAGTTGTAGTGAACGTACGGAACGTTCACTAAAAATAGTTTGTGAACGCGTTCGCTAAAAGATTTTAACGTTCGGAACATAAGGAACGTTAATTGCTATTAGTATTATGAAATTAAAATGCCGTTAATGTCGTTAACTTCATCCTCGTGCAAAGGCAGGACATTATTTTTCATGACGCGGTTAATGCTACGGGGGTTGAGAAAACTGCGAATGGTCAGTATGAGATTGTATTTGTAAAAGCCAAAATTGAAGAAATTGGCGCCGACAGGATTTGCCACGTTGTATAACAGACAATCCAAATGTCAATAAATCTCTACAACGCTTAATCGAAGCTGATTATGAACACATCATAGGATCATGCTGTGTAACCCACCAGTTTGATCTACTTGCCGAGGATGTTGGGAAGTTGAGCTGGACCAAGGAGACATTGTCGAATTGTAACAAAATAGTTACAAATGTGAAGAATCACGACATGATTCTAAAAACGTTTAGAACCCATTCTCATGTCAATTTGCTAAAACCAGGGGAAACTCGGTTTGCCACCCAGTTTATTATGTTAGAGAGACTGAAGGGTTCCAAGGATACTTTGATTAAGACTTATATTGATCCAACCCTTACTGAGTCTGTTAGCAATAAAAGTAATGCATACAAGAATTTGTTTGAGTGCGCTAAAGATTTAGTGTTTGACCCCCATTTCTGGATAGAAGTCGACTATTTATGCTCAATTCTCATGCCGATAATAGTCTTGCTTAGATTTTCAGACAATAGTCTTAAGATTCCTGTTGGTTTCATCGGTGTAATTTATTACAAATATTATCTGTTCACCTTAAAGTTAGCAAATTTTGCTTTCCGCAATAGAAACCATAAAAGTGATATGGTTAGTGATAGTCTTGCCAACAAAAGGTGGCTCGAGCTCCATTCCCTCTACATTCAGTAGGGTTTTGTGTTCACCCGGCTTATCAGGGATATGATCAGCACACGAATCAGGATGTCTGGAAGGAGTTTCTAGATGTCATGGACACATGGTATGACGGCGCAACAAAGAAGAAGATACTTTCGAAGTACACGTTCTACCGAGAGAAAAGAGGCTTATTCTCTACTGACGCTGCCTCAAGTTTTAGCCAAGATTCTGACGATCCAGTCTCTTGGTGGAGCAACTTCGGTTGCGAGGTACCCAAACTACAGAGTTTTGCAATGAAAGCGCTGTCGCAATCATTATCAACATCAGCCTCACCCTGTGAGACGAATTGGAGCTTGTACGACTGGGTGATAAACAAAAAAAGAAACCGCCTCACAGTTGACAAGCAGCGAGACCTTATTTATGTTAACGCAAGTTTGCGTCTTATGAACAATTCACGAATTAAGGAGCAATAATTTCATTACTATTTGCTATACTAGTGACTTATTTTTATTCATTATTGTTTATTTACTGTATAATTCCGAAAACATGGTTTTATCTCATTGTATCCATCTAAAGTTAAAAACTATCGGAAAAATTATCAAAATATTGACTAACGTTCACTAACGTTCACAAACGTTCACTACAAAATGATTGGAACGTACGTTCAGTACGACTAAGTTCAGCGTTCACTACAACTAAGACTTTATCCCTACCGTTTTATTACATTTTTTACTTTATTTACCTATTACTATACATATTTAATCTTAAATTATCATTTTAGTGGAACTATGTAAAAGGGGACGTTGCTAGCGTCGAGATTGTCTTAACCCTGCCTTAGTCAGTTGAAAGTCTGATAGCATATGTTCCGTTTGATTTGACCAAACTAATGCCTTTCATTGCTTTATATCCAGGAACTTGACAGCGAAGCCTTGAACACATTGAAAGATACGATTAAAGCTCTCAAGGACGAACAAGAGCACCACCACGATCAGCTGAATAAACTCAGTGATAACGCAACCCAGAATGATCTGCACTTGAAGGTTATTATACATAACAGATTTATTAATATTATGCAACGTGGTTTATCGCACAGGACGCAATATTATGCCTAGAGATTCATTTGTGGTCAATTTTGAAACTATCGTTAGTTAATTGAAATCAATGCCCTCAGACCCTGTACTCTGGAGTTGATGATCTGAGAGAGATGAAGGCTGACAAAGACTTTGTCGTCCTGGAGATGGAAGACAAAGCAGACAAACGGGTAGTAGACCACAAGGCAAACAGAGTGTTTGTAGATAATCACTTTGAGAAGCTGAACTCTGGTCTAGAGAGTGCCTTACAGCGTTGCGAGGGCCAGGAGGCTGCCCTCAAACATGCCATCACCCAGATTTCTAACGATGTTGAGGGTAAACTTGACAGAATGGAGTTACAGAATGTCAAGGACTTCCTGGGTAAGAATTTCATCGTTTTTAAAATATTTTTCAAATGTGTCTGAAACAAGAATTTCGCCGCGGTAACACCACGCACGATTAAATTTCCCTACTGCCTACAATGTAATTGTTCTACTTGTATCCCAGAGTGGTGTTTGGCGCACGTGATAATCGTTTTCATTATATTAGGCGTGCAGAACTTGAAAATTCTGCGCGCATCTTAGGTGTCGCCGTCGATCTATATTCTATATGTGGTTTGGTTGTAGATAATTTCATATGTTGCGCGGTTTTGTTTCGTGTTACTGTTAACGATGCGTATGATCATGTCACAGTCACGTCATATTTATACTGCATCGTATGCCAACTTTATTGACTGTAATAAAATATTCTGTCTAATCTTAGTTATTATTTGTATCTAACATAAACTAATACATTTTGATGCTTACTCGACACATCTACAGCACCATCGACTATATAGGATTCTTTAAAAGCATACTATACCGCAATCTTGATCTTAGTTGCTTCTTGAATGTAAATGTAAAGTAACATCTGTTCTTAAATATGTAATCGCTTTTTACCATTCAGTTTCGATAAACTGTAAAATATTCGGCCACGAGTTTATCAGTTGATATAATAATTTAATTTGTTTCGACTTGCTGAATTTTATCACTCGGTAATTTATTAAGCTTGTTTCAACAAAATAACTAAACACTTGTATTGATGATTGATCCGCTCAGATGACTAATATGCTATATTAATGAATTAGAGTAAATTGCAACCCGATGGAAACCTGTGTAACAGTCGTCAAGCACCTAAAACTGGTTGCTATGCCTGTAATTAATTAACACATAGCTGGCGTCGCGCGCGCAAAATTGCCTCCTTTTATACACATAATTATAGGGGAGTGGTCTATATTGCGAAGGAGCAGACTTTTGTCATCACCGTAGGACCGTCGGGCCACCTCATATATCCAAACCCGATTACTTATTCCCTACGATCTTTTTGCCTTCGGCAAGAGCAGGGAAAAAAATTGGCTTTTATATATTCTGAGAGAGTACCTAACTGATTCCCAACCTCAACCATTGCCAGAGAACAGGCTGAATAAGTTGAAGGCACCTGGTCCGCCCCAACCTCCAACAAATGAGGTTGATATGGATGCAGCTGGTATGAGGAGGTTAGTAAACTTCAATCTACAATTTCTCCCGATCTTTTTTCTTCTAAATTTAACTGTTCAGCTGGAGGATTTCTCAAGATAGTAGTTAGAATTTAGATGCAATTATTCCCTGATCTCTAAAATTAGTGAATCTTCTTTTCAGACGATTGTTGAAGTTCCACTGTATATCATGCGACAGACCAGTTGAAGTGAACTCAGGAAATATGTTACCATCAACGTTACCTGTGTCATATGGCTTCCCAGGCATGCGAAGTAATAGACCTTACACTACATATGAGTTAGAACTCATTCGACAGCACCAGCGCAAGTGAGTACCTAAACTTTGTCAGATCTTTAGATGCAATGATTTAATACATGTGATATGGGGTCATGACTTACCTAATAGATTGGACGAACCAAAAAATACCATTTAAGTCCAACTTTTTACTAATCTGGTTGCGCTCTTAGTCAGAACATTCCGAGATATCCGTGGAGGTCAGTATTGTTTTGTGTTGTACTTGATCTGATCTTTTAGAGTGTTCGTACATTTTATGCTGTATATTCGTAGAAGTGAACCTTCTTACCATCTAATCATAGTAATTATATATTTCTGTTCTTAGTCTTGCGCTGGCAAATTTATACTTCTAAACATAGTGCGCGCTTACATTTCGAAACTGCTGTATTTTATCTTGATAAACTGTATCAGAGTTTGTCTATGTGTCACTTTGTTTGTGTGTGAAAATAACACGATGGAACCTCTTGTGATCAATGATTATGATTCATGCAATTTACAAACTTAGAATTTTATATATTTTTGTATACTTATGTCAGTCTTCTCCACACAAAAAACAGTGACCCGTACGACATGCCTCAAACTAATCGGAGCTGCGGAGGAATGCACACCATGACTTACGCTCATAGACGTACCCGCATTAGCGCTCTCAGGTATAACGAGTTGACTTTTTTTTATTAATCGATGTCAGTTTTAATGTAAAATGGACATACAGAGCTTCTTTTTGAATCAGCAAGCTTATCAGTTATCAGATTGTTCAAACTCTAATCCCTAATTCATGGCTCATTCTCTTTAAATATTATCATTTGGAGTTTAAGTGAGCAAATCTAACTGCAGTAAAACCCCGATTTACCGTACTTTTTTCCTTCAAACTGTGCGATAAATCGAGGTTTTACTGTATAACGCCAAGTTACCTGTTTTCAATCGCAGTCAGTTTTTCAAAGACGATGAACCGCCCCCAGTCCCAGTTCCACTAAGGTAAATATCATTACAGGTACAAAGGAAAATATATCAACAGCAACTTGAACTACACCTCACAAAACCGAAATCGAATCACCGACGTCACCAGAGAGCGTCGCCCACCACCCATAAACCGTCCCAAAACGCCCACTCACCATGGGCCTCGGCTTGATTTTACAAGAACACCTAAAAGCAACGAAAATCAAGCGTGGACTTAGTGTGTGATAGATAGTGTCACTAGATGGGAAACAAAATACGTTATACAATATACACATCTAGATTGTATGTAACAAACCAAAGCACAGTCTGGTTTCAAATCAGTAAAATGATCTCCTGGGGGTCTCCCATTTAGTTGCGTCATCTAGTCATGTCATTCACTGTCACATTTATTTATCATTATACCATCATCTTTCCATGCTCGTTGAACGTGAAATGGTAGATGTATCAGTATATCATATTGATAGATTCTATCATATTAGATTTTCATAATTATTTACATGTTTTGAAGTTTTAGATGTATTAGCTATTAAAACCATGGTAGTGAAAAATCCGGTTGAATTGGGGGTGGTATACAATACCGTCGAATTGCGGTAAAGTAAAATTGAAAATCGAAAAGAAATTCGAGAGTTTAAGTCGACAGCATGAACGATTTAAAAATATTTCAAGCATCAATTCTAAAATTGTACCCTTCTTCTAGCTTCTAGGACGATTTCACCGCAATTCGTAAAGAATACTTCTCAAATTCAACCAAATCAGTCAGTACTATCATAATTTGTAGAGGGGTATAGGTTTGTAATGTGGATATAAAAATGAATCGATTTTATTTTTAGTCACTGATTATTTTATTTTGTGTTATAATTTTATTAGCAAATTCAATATAAATCTTCATCATACCCACACATGTCACAAAATCGCCTTCAATCATGATAAGTTTTCAAAGGTACATAAAAAGATTCGATAATAATACAGCAGAAATAATTGTAATAGTACAATGAAAAACTTATTGATCATTCCTTATTTTGTACGTTAATCTATATAACAAGCCAGAGATCATTAAAATTCCGATTAAACTTCAGGGAGACTGAACTTCAGGGACAAGATGGCCACATATACAGAGGAAGACTAGAAAGAAAATTCCCTGTCCTACCCCGCGTTGGCCAATCGGTAAGTTACATTGAAAGAAAACAAAACGAAACATACGACATTCGAAGTAGCCTACCAATCGAATTGATGAGAAATGGAACCTTCAAACGAAAGGTTGACAAGCTTCAGTTGGACCCAATAACAGGCGATGAGCCGCCTTTGTGGAGGTTTTGAGGACAGCAACCGATAGTCCTAAATACACAGTTCATTGCTTTAACGCATGCCACTGAAATTATATTGATTAGATTGATTAATGATTATGCTTTAAGAACACGAAAATTGATCTCATCGAATTTGGGTTACGTTGAAGGTATCAAGTTGTACTGCACTTCTATGGAGCGTAATATTTGAACGTACCTACTAGTAATGCATGTATGATTGGCATGTGGCAGAATGGCATATTATACTCCAAAATACCATAACATAACACTACCAGTAATAACTGATTTCTTGCAGTTCCGAGTTCGTGCATGGGTTGTGAATCCTTATTTATCATTTATCGGGGCAAAATTCTTAGTAGCCGTGATGGTAGTGCGAACAGTACTAAAGTACTCCCTGGTGGTTTTCAGTATTAATCAGCCAATTTATTATCTAATTCATTGGCTTACGTTTAGCATCTACAGGCGGAGAAACTGCCAAGAATTATGTCACCTCGGCGACGAACCGTTATGTAGCTGGTAGGTTCGTCAGCCCCCGTTTTCTTGATACATGTCGCATGTCTGTCTGTTTATGTATAGGTACGGGTCGTGTGCATGACGCATGTAGGTTTTTGTTCTAACGTATTTGACGCTTGTTAAACCATTCAGCTTGGTTTTGGGCGTTTGTTCGCTGGGATTTTTGTCTGTTTGGGGTTATTTTCGGCCATCAAGAAGAAAGCCGGGGATAACCCCACACGGACAAAACCCAACACGGACGAAATCCCAAAAGAGCACCACACCTTCTTTTCTTATAGTTTTGTAGCTTACAGTCACCATGTACGTTACTTGAGCATTTCTAACTAACTGTTTGCTTATCAGAATGACTTTAACCACTTTTAGTTCTTAAGACTTGCTAAATGTTCATCGTTATTCAGCATATTTACACTCTTTGTTTAAAATTAAACTGGGATCATATTCAAAGTTTTACTTGTTGATTTTGTTGCATGTGTAACAACAATCATCTAACTTTGAAAAGACATTCTTCTCTGTCATGCAGCAGGTTTATTATTGAAATGATAATAATTCTAAATCGTCACCAGCTCTGGCAAGACGTTGAGATTGAAAAGGCCTCATTTGTCGCTATTTATGTTTTATTTACAAAAGGCTTACCACGATTCTAAGACTCGGTTGTCAAAATATTTTCCATTCAAAGTTTATTCTCAATCTCAGGTCTGAAAGAAATGCATGATCATGAACATCGTAACTGACTTAGGTCTCTTGAAAGCACGATATTCGTTATTTTCTTTCATTAGTATGTTACAATAATGTCTTTAACTTCAATCTTGCATGAAAATAAAGAAGATATTGGTCTTTGACCATTTGTTCAATCTAAATGACCCTAGTTTTTGCAATTTAGTTGCGTCATTGCATGAGTAGATCCAAGCATTTATTTAGTAGTCTCCTTTAGGTTCAACTCAGTGTTACAATAATTGTAATATATAAAGTTTCTAAAAGATGTACATATTATGTTATCATAATTAAGATTACCATGGTTTATAATTATAGCTTTAATGAGTGACTGTGTTTTATTGAAATCTACTTTTGCAACTGTTGATTTTCATAAAAGTTGAACATGTATTGAGGGAGGTAATTATAATATTAGGACTTATTGAAAAAAACAACAGTGATGAGTGATCTCTTAATTTATTGCAGCAGAATACTCATACATTTCAGCACTTGTACTTGTATTTTATCATGTAACCGTGAAGCAATTCTGTGAAAGTCTGGTCCCGTTTATCGTACTTGCCACAATCTCCAAAGCGTTGGATGATGGCATTAACCTGTTATATTTATCAAATCAGATGGTTCTCATCTTAGCTTAATTCGTGTAATAGTCAAAATCACCTAGCCTATTATTTTGACATAATAACCAAATTTGTGGCTCAAATAGAAATGTGTTAATGAATTAAGTTAAGTCACGAGACAATGGAATGTGTACTAATCTGAAGTGTGATTCTCTCCCCGAACATTAGGTAGGCGCGTATGACGAAGGTACGGTAATGGAGAGGGCCATGGCCCGGCACACACGAGAGAGGCCTAGGACTGCTCCGCGACCCAGATCGCAACGAGCCTGGTGACTCGGGAAACATGAAACTGTGCATGCTGGATGGAAAGTAGAAACTTACCCATGACTCTATTGTTTAATCTTCAACAAAACTTTAATGATGATCAAAAATATGGACCTGAGTCTTCAAAATGTTTTCTTTGGATCGGTTTATTGGGATTAAATCAGCCTCATTACCCTACATGGTAGGATTTATAATTAGGTTTTATGATGATAAAAATCACAGTTTACATATGTTTATTCGTAGTATAAAAGAATGTATTTGCTACTGGCGTCTTATCAGCTAGATATGGTGTTGTAATTAATGTAAAAAGTTAGCTAGGATATTTGATATTTTGACACAATTTATGTGCTGCCCTTACATCGCGATCGTTACACTCGGCAACAAGAATATAAAGGAGCACCTAACATGTGTCAAGGATAAGTGCTGCATTTATTTCGTTATTTATGATAATAGGTACATAATTATAGGGGGTCTGTCAATTATTTCTTTTATCAGAAAACTTATGATCTAAAACAAATGTAGTAATTTACGTATTGTTATTAATATTTTGCAGTTTTTAGTTGTAGTTTTGTAATTATAGGGCATGGCTTGGGTTTAAATGTTAAAACCCTTTAAAATTTTTATGTTTCTCGAATAATTTGATGTTTTCATCAGCATATATAGCCCTATTTTTTATTTAACAAAAGAATTAAAACAATGTGATCTTCCTACGACACTCAATTTTGTAACGGAAACAATTGAATCAATTAATGAATAAGATCAAATAAATAACATTAAAATAATCGATTAAATTAACGAAATAATCGTAAGTAAATGTCCACTGATCGTGAAAATAGTAATAAAAGAAACACAATTTTATTTGAAAAATTGCACTCTTCCTTTAGATATGCATAATGACCGTACATTTTCATGGTACAAAAGTGGTAGTACTTCATTGTTCATAAATTCATACATACATTTAGACATAGATTTTCGAGTCAAAATGGGTTCTGAATATTGTAAATTGCTGTGTTCGTAATTGGTTACAATTATCCACTGTTATCAGTGCAGATGTACCTCATTATCTGACCCCACACCTAATAACCTACGCAAATTTAATATCATTTCCCACAATTGCTTTACAATAATTTATTAATGAAATAAGATTCTTCACGCCACTCTGGCCTATCACTGCAAGTATACAAGTCTTTGCAGTCCCAGTTCTACATTCAACCAGCAATTTCACAAGTTGGTGATGCAAGGTTCCTGAGTGTGTGATGTGCATGTCACGTGACCACAAGACGAGCTACCAGGTGCCATGATCTGAGTATCCATGTTCAGATCAATCGTCTCGAAGGAGTTGTCCAGCGCGATGTCAGCTCCGGTTGTCTGACGAGTTCTGTCAGTAGAAGTGGAGGGACCATCTGAGGGTGAAAGGTAATCAGATGATCTGAGCAGGGGATCAGGTGTCCGGGGTAGGGGTACAGGATCAGATGACCGGAGTGTGAGCTGGGTTTTAATCTTGATATCGTCTAGTATCTCGTCATCGTCCTCCAGATCTGACATTACGAACACCGGCGGCTGAAATTCATAGGCTGATAATCTACCTTACAAGACATATTTATGGCGGCCTAATTTGCGACGACCGAAATTTTGGCGGTCCGAAAATATGGCGAAATTGAACAAAAACCGTCAAATTTCGGACGTCACAGAAAATAAGGGTATTTTCATCATTTTTTGTGACAGTAAGCAGTAAGGAAATTTCTGAAATTCGGTAAAATCATGTTCAAACTTAGTCTGTATTAAGACTGTAAGACTTTCATATTAGCACATACATGTATTTTAATGCAAATTTAAACTGTATTGCTTGACATTCAATTAGTCATTGTTGTGGTGATAATTTGTCCCAAGATGCCAGAATTTATTTATTTATTTTACTTGATATTACTTTTAGAAACAAAATAAAGCAGTGAAGGCACAGTCATTGAAATAAGCTAAAAGATAATGTGACGGATTCTATTACGACGACCGAAATTTTGGCGGTCCGAAAATATGGCGAAATTTTCGGAAAACCGCCACATTTCGTACGTTATAAATATGTCTTGTAAGGTATTAATTATTGTAACGTTCATTCAGGGCTCGTTTTGTGTTTTGTGATAAATCTAATATATATAAGTACAGCTTTAATTGATAAACAATTTAAGCTGGGTGTTACTTTTAACTTTGTAAAGTATCATAATTCTTACAGCTGATTCCTCTTCTTCTGGGTCTATCAACTCTCTTTTGTCCTCCTTCTTTCTTGCTTTTATCAGCTTGTGCCCGCTGAAACATGTTAGATAAAGTAGAAAAGGCAAATAGTGTGATGTAACTGTGAGTTAGCTACTGAATATCTAGATAGTTTTGTCTTAAGATGACGTCTGACAGCAGTTATTCTTTTCCTTATCTGATCCTCACTGTTCAGATAATGAGCATAATTATATTATTAAAATTCATGATAAAATACATTAGACCGGTAACTATCATTTATACAGTTAATTGGATAACTAATATTATGAGTCTCACATGAGTAGACCAATAGCGATGAAAGCAAGACCTCCTTCAATAAGGAAACAAAAGCCATGGTAGTAGGAGTGAGTTGCTTCGTAGATCTGAAAAATAAAAATTTGTTAAACTTGTATTCTTTATCGATCAGAACTGAGTCCTTAAGTTTCACATTTTGACTTTGTACTTATATCTGCATTTTCCATTTTCGGTAACTTAATTCAGACAGGAGCTTCATATTACCAGATCCGAGGACACCTAATATGTAATACTTCACGTGACATTGTGACTAAAAGATAAGATTACCTTGCTGATGGCAGAACTGCTGATAAGCGCCACAAGCACCTCTGAAGCGGACATTACTGAGAAGAGGGAACCCTGGTTGTTAGCGGATACCATCTTGCTCATCTCTGATCGTAGTGTGGGGATAGCCATGCTGCCCACTGCTCCAACTGTGGAACCTATAAAAACCATGAGGTTTTATAATAGTATCTAGAGTATGAACGGGATAATTGTGTTTATAATTTTCTTCATTACAGTTGTCACGTTATACATGATAAACTGGAAGTTGTGCTATACTATCATTAGTGACCATAGTAATTTAACACAATTGTCCACTATAACAAAAATTCTATATGTAATGCAGTAGATATTGATTATTATTACCAAAGAAGAGCATCCAGTCAACAGTGGAAACGCCCACGATGATAGAGCTGATACACGCGGCTATTATTCCAACCAGTGCTGTCCAGTAGTCCCCCGCTTGTCTGTTGAATTTGGGGAGTGCCAGTAGAGTTATGTTTCCGTTTAGTAGCGTGTTGAACGCAAGGAAGTATCCTATACTCGTCTGAAATATTGTTTTTTAAATGTTTCAATCGCATGATCAAAACGTCTTATAAAGTTTAAAGGGGCATCTTTGACTTCCACAAGTTTTTATAGCTGGATATTCGATCAATTTCTAAATTTTATCACTATCAGAGTGAAATTGAGTGGAATTTGAATTAGAATATTGTCAAATCGTTATTATTATAGAGGGTGAAAAAGAAAATTTTGATTACGTAATCAACGACCAAACCCCCCGCCCCCCCCCCCCGTAATCATTATCAACCGTAAGCATTTAGAAACCCCCCCTCGGCTGATTACGTAATATGTGAACGACCCCTTGTGAAAATTAATAGGCGGGGTTCTGTACCTCAATTGTGTCCTATGCCGTCTGTAGATCCTAGTTATACCCTTAAAACTGCTCACATCTATTATAACTTAACCCAGTACTCACATTAGACCACTCAAATGGTTTGTCGAGGAGAAAGAGGATGAAGATGTTGTTGGTGCCTGCTAGAACAGCTATCAGTATTGAGAAGATAAGCAGCGCTAACCACAAGGACTTGCGATCTCCTCTCGGCGCTCTGAGAGGTATTTCAGACTAAATATACTAATTCCTATTTCTTGCGTACTTTGTAGCATATCTATAAGTATATCTCCATTGCTAAATCAGTCTATATGTCTTGATATTGATGTGAAAAATCTGTACACTATTATTGATCGAAAAAACAATTGTAAGTTAGTGCAATTGAGAAACTAAAGTTAGTGCAATTGAGAAACTTAATTCCACTCATGCATATCTATAACTTCTTACTATCTATATACTTACACCAAAAGGTTGCACGTCCGTTTAAAATGCTCGATGAACTTATAAGATCGCACTTTTGATACCTGAAATGATAGGAAACTGGTCATTTGAGGTATTTATGCATGCTTGTACAGTTTGTGAACTTCAATTATAGTAGTCGATTAAATTGACGTCATGACGTTAAATGAACAAATAAATATACATAATGTGTCGTGTGATTATGATAATTAGCAACAGCAATATGACGGATTAACCTTCCTAGGTTCGGCTAGTTTGAGAACGATGTAGACGATGATGAGGACGTTACAGAGTTGAACTGCAAAGAGTGGTGCTGCAAACCCTCTCTCGTCCGACCACAGGCCTCCTGCATAATTACATTGTGAAGCACCGCCTCAGATCTTTTTTCAGGTTACTTTTACTTCAAACTTTTGTTGTATGTATTTTGATAGGTTTAAATCTTCTCCGACTTGGTTAATTTAGCTTTTTAGTAAATATATCCGATTTGACCACCCAGTTCACGTGTCGAACGGATGTTTAAATGGTTCCTTTATATGTACAATACCTGTAACAGACGCGAGAAAACCTCCCAGAAAGACCATACTCTCAGTCAGGGAGATCCTCTTGGTCCTCGTCTCCTCACTCGAGGTGTCAGCAGCGTAAGCGAATGAGGCAAAGAGGAATGTGCTGATACCTCCACACATTCCATCTAGGAAACCTCCGATAAGGAAGTAATACACTGAGAATCTGGATGAGGGAGGTTATCGTATAGGGTGGGGGTTAAAGTAATTTAAGATTAGGGGCCGTTTTATATATGTACGCATGCTCATCGAAAAATTGAATTTAACTGCGATCAAAATCAATAACTAAGGTTGAATCTAAAATCGAATCCCTTGGTCAACATACTGTTGAGGCCTCTATTAATTTTCACCAATTTTCCTGACCTGAAGTAAACTTGAAGAAGAAGGAATGTCGTCCAGATAGTATTACCAATACAGGAAAGTATCAGAGCTGGCCTTCTACCGTACCTGAAAACAAATGAGAAAGCTGTTTTAACTATGAGCACATTGACAGATTCTGGTGATATGCCTCATTTTTTTGAGTTTGTTAACTTAATAATATAAAGTTCTATTCACGCTTGGTGCTTCTAAAATAGCAATATTAATTATCCCAGCCATTGTCATACTGGTACCTGTCAGTAAAGGACCCTAGTACAAGAGCTACAAAGAAAGCAGGCACGTGACGGGAAGCTGTGATATAGAGATTTAACCTAGAGGACTCCTCCAGAGCGGCCTTCTTCTTTTCCGCGCATTCCGTGTCGTTCTCCCTGAGACAGAGTTTAAAGCTTTTTTGGTCCACTTAAGAAGTGATACTGAGGGTACTAGGTTGCATGTTATTTTACTTCGACAGTTTCGATGAAGTTTGATGATTAAATTGGCATCAATCTTATGTCATTTTTCAAGTGAATGGTAAAACAGAATCTTTCGGCAATCACCGGCCATCATCTTCTGTCTCTTCTGTTTTAGTTCTTACTTGCACGCTGTGTTCTTTGATCCCATAAGGTTCTCGAATATCAACTCCGTGTAAAGAGGATACCACAGGTAAACTGTGAACATGAACAGGAATATGATGGGCTCCACTGTCACTTTAAATGCCATTTTAGTCCTCCTTTCCCGGTAACCTCCAGTGGTTTGTGATAGTGCAAAGTGAGGTTAAGTTAGGGTTAAGTGAGGTAAAGTGAGCCGTGAGGTTGGGTGAGGTTAAATCACTTGGTGTTAGTGGACCTCCTGATTGTAACTGGCTAATTGTTGAGTCTTATCGATACATATTGATGTTGTGGACCGCGTGTTCTTTCTATGTCACATCGGTGATCGGAATCACCGTCCCACCGCTGATTTGTCACGGTGCTAAGGTGAGCAGGTGTTCGATTCTCTCTTGTTCGAAACCTAAGTGATATTGCTAAATTCAGTATCAGGTTCTCGGAGTGTTCTTGAATTCTGGATTAATATTTATTTATGGTATTCAACTTTTAACCTATCAGCATCTATATAATCGACGTAATTAGGTTGACTTCAAATTCAGCCAGTAAAATGCTGATTTTAAGGCTTAGGCCGAGGTTATAATAGTGGTCTCTATGGTTCAGCACTATGCTCCAAATTACGCCATTTATGGAAATTTAATTATACGCCCTGACGAAGGAGGATGTTAGTTTGCGTAATTTCGGCTATTTTTAGTTCGAATGAGCAGAATTCTATAACAATTACAGTTACACAATAAACCTTTAACCGAAAGCACAAAACTCAACGGCTGAAAGTATTGAAAATTGTTCAACTTTCGTGGAAACGACTAACAAGTTAACAAGAGCAGCAAAAAGGGGCAGATCGCCAGATCACTGACAAAGGTGCCTCTTTGAAGCAGAACTACACTATATATCACTACATTATACACATTATACAAATTACAAGTATATGTAGGTATCGCTAATCACTATCGTATGCCTACTACATGTTGGTACCGTAGACCGCGGTATATAGGTACGTAGGTAGGTGTTATATACATTCACACGCAGGTAAAGCCAAAGGGGGGGGGGGGGGGGGGGGGGGGGGGGGGGGGCTGGAACAACCTGACTTTTCGACAATAAGGGGAGACTTGGGAGTCAAATGATCCAATAATTCAGGGATCAGCACGAAAATGCGAATAAATTCGATGAATCTATTTATTTTGTATACTTTTGAATGTAATAATGGACTTTTGACTGTGTCCATCAGTAAAAATGTCCATTTATGACAATTTATCAACATCCAGGGTGTCGTGGTCGCATCTCCGCCCCTACACTTTAATTCACCGTGCACATTGACATAATATTAATATACATTAGAAAACAATACAATACACAATATGTTAATTACGCTTCAAAGTTTACCAAGTTACCACAGCAAAATACTAATCGAAATATGCAGAGACTAACCGACAGCGAATAAGAAGATATTTCCAAAACAATTCTATTATATTGACAAGATATAAGTTAGTCTACACTGGAAGCGAGATCATCAAAGTGCTGGCGGATTAATCATCATCCAGAGAGACGGTGGTTAACAGGCTGACGTGATCACTCGTCACACGTGTGCACGGTAACCAAAGCGATTAGCGACAAATCTGGCAACATGTGAACTGTGACAATAACAAAATACTGCCGGATATAAGAACATGCTGCTGGAAACAAAGCTACATGCTGCCGGGGAACTGTTCCCCAGAAACAGGTTGGGACGTTTCCCAGGCTTGACGAGCTGTTAATCACGTCTAACAACGTAAACCCACAACGCCAGCTGTCCAGGCTCACTTGGGCGACACAGTTAACCGTATAAACCAACGTGATCAGCGACCTGCTGGAGCTATCGCACAATCTAGGCATAAGAGAGCGATCCTACCACCCCAATTATACCAAATATGGTCAAAATGAGAAATCTACATATTATCCCCTCAGCTCCTGGCTCGAGAGTAAGAGTGCTGCATCTGAATAAAACGATACTTTAGCAATTAGCAAGTAGATGGTTGGTTTAAATCGTGCTTATCACATGTGTAAAAGAGGCCTGAGCCTTATTTGTCCTTTTGTAATTGAGCTGAGTTATAGGTGCCGGGAGAATCACCATTTTAGTTTTATAATGTAACATAAATAGCAGTAGAAATGGAGAGTGGTGTGGGTTTCCCTTGAATCTCAAATCAAGATAATTGGGGCTCTTAGTTTCCTAGATCAGGGAACTAAGCGATATATAACTGAGCGATATATCGCTCAGTTATCAAACCTATATATCAAACCTATATATAGGTTTGAGCGATGACGAAACCTAAAGTAATCAAATACTTGTGCCGCCATTTCGACAAAATTGTGTTGCTCTGTGCAGTCCCTTCGAGCTTTTCCAAATGAACCGTTTAATAGAGATCACTAACTGTAACCAAGATGTAGCAAACTTCGGCCAATTTTAACTTTGCAACCGAAGTTGGTTTACGTGTTCATGTTGTGAAAGGACCCGCAGTTGCAGTAGCAAGTAACTGCTTAACTGGAGATTTACAAATTTAAATCTTTACTACATCAATGTATTGTCATATCGTTAAAAAAAAGACGCACAGAGTCACGATAAAAAGAAAGAAAGGTCACTGGATGAGGGAGTGTTCAATAGCTAAATATGGCCTTATTGTGAACGATCTGATCTTACTGTCGCGTAAAGTGTAAAGTGTAAACCAAATTCGGCCGAAGTTAACATTGGTCGAAGTTTGCTAAATCTTGGTTACGGTGACTACCTAAAAACTATCCTTGATGAACGAGTTTCCAATTAGTATTGCTGTCGGATGTGCTGAAAATTTAACCTCTGTTTAGTCTTTCCGCGTGAAGCGGAATTAATAATAAGTGACAAAAGACATATTCAATATATAACAGAAATTACGGAATAGTCTTTGTTAGAACTCAATAGTAACGTTAGAAACCTTTCAGATGACTGCCATCCTAATTAGTGTGAATAACTAGTTTACATAATTAGTGTGTATTATAATTGTGTATATATTGTGTTCTATTACTGACAAGAACTGATAAGAACTGAATAATATGCTTTTATGATACAATTTGCACCAGGTCAAAATTGAAAATCAGTGATCATTATTTCAAATTGCCACCAATTTGTACCTGTTATCTCAGTTCAAATCACCGGTGCCATTTGTAATTTGCTCCATCAAAAAAAGATTGCGTACGCATGGTATTTAATGTTAATGTACATTTTAATGTCCCTTTTATTTTTAAGTGGCTCAGTGGCTTAGTTGGTTAATCAGCTTGTCTACTGGCCCTGACGATGCGAGTTCGAATCCCAGTTGGGCCAAGATTTCAAAATTTATGGGCAGCCGTCGCTTACCAAACCATGGTGTGAATGGTGGTAGCTCTCATTAAGAGATGCGAAAATAACACGAGTGCATATGCCTGGGGTTGCGTCCCGACTATGCTGCAGGGAAATCTGTACCGAAAGGACCGTGGCCGCACCGCAAAAGAAAAGGAGATCGGCCCCTCGATCCTAGCTTGCTAGGTTCGCCATTGTTGTTGTTGTTGTTGTTTATTTTTAACCCAATCAACAATCAATCAAAGATTGATTGACGATGTGATCCCTCCAAGCTCGTTACACAAGACATGAAATTTTAATATTTGAAAATGGGACAGAAATTTAAAAATATGTATTTTCGATTTTCTGTAATATGCTTCCTCCGACCAAAATAAAACTTCCAGTACTTCAATTGTGTCATACTCATATGGCGTCTATAGTTGACTGACCAATTGGTTTCTGGAGAAAGTACCTCAATTTGGTCGCATATCATCCTCAGTTAGCTGAATAATTGGTCACAGAGGTCACTGTGCAAAACGTCCACCAAATCTGTCAAATTTCTGCTCAGAAATTGTAATATTTGAAAATGGGACATAAATTTAAAAATCTGAATTTTTGTTTTGTAAAGCTTTCTGTATAGTAGTAAGCTTCCTCGTACCAAAATCAAACTTCCAGCACCTCAATTGTGTCATATGGCATCTATAGTTGACTGACTAATTGGTTTCTGGAGAAGAATTCGGTGAGAGTGACACAAGTCGCCATCAAGGTACTGGAAAAAGTATGTATATCCGGAGAAAACTTTAATGCGATAAAAATTTTGAATATGTCCTACCGGTAGGACATATTCGAATTTCAGCCTTCCGCGACCCAAATTTCACTGTTTTTACTGAATATTTTTGAATGACCATCTTACATGGGTCACTGAAGATGGCATAATACACGATTGAGGTTCTCAAAGTTCTATTCCCAAAGAAAGCTTTGATAAACGCAAAATCATCTGAATATAAAATTTCGGTCCCCTTCACCCTTGACCGAAATTTTGACCAGTGACCAATCAGTGAGGTCGGTGAGAGTGACACAAGTCGCCATCAAGGTACTGGAAGCAGCTTTGATGCAATGAAAATTTTGAATATGTCCTACCGGTAGGACAAGTTTGTCTTCAAAAGCTGAAAATGAGACTATATGGTTTTCCCATTTTGTCGGGGATTTTGACTTCCAGTACTATAATTTGGTCTCACACCATCCTCAGTTAGCAGACTAATTGGTCACTGGGCAATAAGTCCATCAAATCTGTCAAATTTGAAATGCAAATTTGATTGTAAGTTTGCTTTTGACACATGTACGTCGTACGATTCTTGGTCATACTTTCTCCTGTCTGGCTGTCTCCTTTAATGAAAGTTGTGAGTACTGAGAACGCGCTGTAGGTGTAACTTCCTCTCCCTTCACACAAGACAATATGCACTAAGGTTATCAAGATTGTTACATGATGAGCTGATCAGCTTTTGTACAAGTCTCCATAAGTTTTGCAGGCCATGCAGAAAATTATCATTATACGTTTTCAATTCAACAGCTGATGAAGTATTAGGATTATATTTTAGAACTGAAACGCTGAAATTCATGGGGTATGTTATTTATTGATACAAATATAACTGAGGGCGAATCCTTGAGAAACGATAGTTTAGGATAGTTTAGGATCTGACCAAGTACCATTAATCATCACAATTCAAGGCATCCAAACCAGGAAATAAGAAAATACATTATTTCGTGTGGTGCAGAATGCAGATTGCAGATGTATATCTGAATTTCTCATCGGTACCAGCCTTCATAGGAACTGTTCTGAAGTTGCTTTCAGTTTTAGTTGTTCTGTAAAAATATAATATTATGGGGTCTGGCAGAAATTGCTGTCTTAGCACCATGAGGGCTTATATTATCATCATCAACATTATAAACACTGTTAGTGAGATTGACTGTTCATCTTTTTCATATTGTACTCCACTTCTGTAGTTTATAAAGTATAAACCTTTTGGCAGTTTCTGAACAGGGATAATCATGATCAATTGTCAGATTGTCAAATTGATTTAGGCAATCAGACAAAACCACAAAAAATTTTGATTTATAATTTATTCCTTACAAATTTTTAGTCACTGGTCCAATGTATAATTTTACACGGAAAACTCTTGAAATGAAACGTAAAGTGTAAACTGAGTTTACTTAGGCCACAATTAAATAAATTAAATCTCATGTAATAAAAATTTCAGCTGTTGGGGGTGGTTCTGTTTGTTGGAGCATGTATTCTGGCTATAGCAGATACCAAATGCGTAACAACTTGTGAAGTAACGTAAGTTTTAGCCAAGCGTGCATGAAACGCGAAAAGTTTTTAAAAATCCACTTTTTCTTATGAAATTGATTACACAAATAACAGAAACTTTTGGAGTGGACATTAAAGCAATGAAACCAGGCCGGGACGGGTCTCTGTAGGACTGTTCGCTGTTAGTGTGTACATTCTTACAATGGGAATATCTGGTATTGTGGGTGCCTCTCTTCGACTCAGAAACTGGGGATTTATTCTGGTTAGTGACCCGGCATTTGTTATAACTTTTAGTGAAAACGACTTTGTTGAAATAAGATGTATTATTTGTATTTCGCAACTGACCATGAAATTGTAAGTTGGGTAAATAACCTTTTCTTGTATTCCTAATTTCCTACAAATACGAGTACAGAATACAAGTCATACAGCTAGAAATCTTAATACAGGGTAGACATTTATCAATTATATCCTAAACTCACAGTTATTTCTAGTCATAAGAAGGCTGCAACTAAAACTGTTACCATCGCATTTCAGCATATATGGCTGCTGTGTTTCCTCCTAGTTATACACTTGTTCTTTATGGCTGGACTTGTTTACCTGTCTGATGTCGACGATCTAGATGATACGATCAGTTCTAAGTTTGGGGACCTTTACTCGACCTACGGAGACGAAGCATTGGCAACTGTTGGAATAGACGTTCTACAGGTATCATTTGTAAAATAACTTCGGATATAATCATTATCAAATAGCATGCCAGATGATAATTATACTGTTGAGAGGAATGAGGATTTGATAAAATTCTTAACCTGAAACCGTTTGTCTCAGGGGGCTTTGCAGTGTTGCGGATCCAGCGGTAGTTCAGACTTCACTGAAGGAGGGGCGGCCACTCACTGGATATCTAACCACGAGGGTTACCCCTGCTCCTGTTGTCCTGCATTTGTCTGTTCAGACAACTCTATCTCACCGAAAAACCTCTACTCACAGGTACGCTGTACAGTCTATACAGTCAAAATCTATAGTCGAAAGAATAGCAAATTTGGGTTAAATCGTGTTTGCTGATCGAAACGAGTTCTTATAAACTACTTTATTATTCAGGGCTGCACGTCTCTACTGAGCGGGTATTCCAGCACTGGTCTCGACTGGACAGCTGTAGCAGTAGCAGTGACCTTCTCTCTGAGCCTACTGAACCTGATCCTAGCTCTGGTCCTTGTCAACAACCGTCGTGATACCTGCTGTGTCGGCTGCTGCTGGGCTTGTGTCAGTGAGAAACCTGGTGACAAGGAGGGCGAGGCTGTACCACTTCAGAACCAACAATTGTGACTTTGAAAATAGGACACGAATTGGAGTTTGGTTTTTCCTTTTTCGGTGCTTTCTCCATATCACATTTGAAAAAGGGCAGAAATTCGACAATATTTTGTAATTCATTCTTTGGGATACTTTCCCCGGCCGGAATCAATTTTCCAGCACCTTAAATGTGCTCATGTCATCCATAGTTAACTTCCTTATTGATCACTGGACAAATATTCGGCGAAAACTGCGAAATTTCGGTCCAGCAAAATTTCACCTGGCAAGTTTTACATATTTTCTTATTAAATAAGTCCTTTAGAAAAATGTTAAAAAAAAAGTTTTGTTACATCCTTTACTTTTGATTTCAGCTGAAGTTATGACACTAGTTCTAAAGTTGTTATAATACATTTTTCGGACTATAACATACACGATCACCGTATAATAAAATTAAAGATTCAGATTCAGATCAAAGTGCCCCAAAAATTACTTAGCTATTCAATTAAATACACCATCAAATATCTGCAGAGTATTGCAAAACCAATAAAAACTGCTTAATCAGATACGACAATTGCGCCCTATTATTCATGAAATCGTAGATCATATTAGGTTAGAGTCAGGCAGAGTTACAAATCAAATTAGTTTAACACAAATATAATATACACTAATTATGTAAACTAATTATGTAAACTAATTAAGTAAACTAATTATGTACACTAATTAGGGGGGGGGGGGGGGGGGGGCAACTATGTTAAAGTATATTAAAATGTAGGTTTTTTCCCAATTTTTTCCCGGGGATATACTTTAATATGGTTGCCCCCTCCCCCCCTATCTTGGATCACTTATTAAACTTAAAATAACCGAAAATTCTCAGTATAAAGTAATAACTCATGAATAATGCAGTGAATGCTGTTAGGATTGTCCCAGAATATATCGTGGAGTAGATACGATGAGTTTACTTGTCCTCAATGTTCCAGAGATGTTGTCCCCATCTTACAGTCAGTCTCACTATGTTCAGCAGATCTTTAGCGCGCATGTTTGCTGTCTCCAATACCTGACAATTGCATGATTTGAATCAACTTTAAAATCACAAATGGGTAAAAATGTAAAGCTATTTCAAATGTTAAAGTATATAATAGCGTTCTGTAATGAAGTATATACTATGGCCCATTGAACTTTCATTCGACCCACTCCCCCTCGACGAGTCCAACTCGGCGTGGGTCTTGGTAGGTTTAGTTAGGGACAATTAACATCAATACAGGACCATCTGGGAAAAAATTTGCGACAAGCTGATTTTTACAGGAATGTGTTGTCCATAGTGTCAGGAACCACCCCAAAGAGTTTTGAATCTGGATCTGTTGAGCAAAAAAAGTTACAGCCAATTTTCTTCAGGCGCGTATGTCAGCCTGAGGACCGCATTTGAAAAATTCGTAACTATCGTAATAAAGACCCCCAGGAGCACCATAGGGGGTGTAAAATGACCGCAATAGTGACATTATGTGGGGCGAATCAGTGTTTTAGGGTCGTCAGATCTTTACTTATTGAGATAATTTCATTTTTATAGGCTAACCTCTCAAAAATTTACTAAAATTTTGAAATTTTACTTAAATTTGGAAATTTTGCGAAAATTGTTGTAGTGGGGATGTTATGGAAGCCGAGTACGGATATGGCCAGTGGCGTAACGAAAGGCCCTGCTGACCCCGCTGTGCAGGGGGGCGCCGTCTTAGGGGGGCGCCAAATCGTCGTTTGAATGTGGGACAATTTCGAAAACTTAACTAAAGTACTAGCAAAACTGCGCGTTTTGCTCTAGATACACACTTTTTTAGAGATTTTACCGGCGTATTCTCTAAAATCACCTAATTTGTTCAATTTTAGGGAGGGGCACCAAAAGGGGAGGGGGCGCCAACAGGGGGGCGCTTTTTTCGGCAGGGGGGCGCCAACAGGCAACGTTACGCCACTGGATATGGCTTCCTTGTTTTGTAGTTGTAAATAAGGTTGTTGATTTGTCAACAATTATCACGTTTCAAATTCTGATAAAACTCTTTGTAAAGCTTAAAAGCCGTATTTTTGAGATGAAAGACGTAATCAAATGGATTCAAAATGGAAACTCGAGAACACCAAATCTGTTATCGTCCAATTATTAAGACGATAACTGCGAGTGCATATCATTTTCTAGTCAGTCTCCTGGTTCTTTAGTTTTAACAGCTTCAATTCGCATCATTCTTTTTGTTTGTATTCATACGATGACCCAATGAGTTTAGATACCCTAACTCGTAAGGTTCATCTTGCTAAACTAAAGGGATGGAAAACTGGTCAAATTTACGGACAATTGACCACTGATGAAACGTGTCTTTCTATCATTCTCTACGGAGTGAGCTTTGTAAGTAATTTATTTAAAAACCTTTGTAAACGCTTTAAGTCAAAGTTTCGTGAAATTGTATACGCTAATTGAAAAGGATTGAAAAGTTTGGAACGGAGATTATTTTGCTGATTCTTAATTTTAGCACTTCATCAAAATCAACTCAGGGGAAAGACCATTATACGTGGCGTTATTTTGAAACATGGACAGCATTGTTGACGACAATAATCTACCACAAAGACGTTTTTAAGCGCATTTTTTCTTGCTTAGTCTCACTAGGTAAGGACTGGATATGATTTCAAATTTTAGCACATAAAGTTTTTGCAATTGTATACATTTTATCGTAATAAGTAAGGAATTAGAATAGTTACGTTTAACTATAATATAATTATCCCAGATTGGTTGCAACGGCCGTTCACTCTTGACGAAGTACGAGACAAGTACATATCATTAGACTCAACTACTCGTGAAAATGTTCTTAGAGTCATTCTAGGTAGAGTTTTAGTTGTAATAAACAATTCAATAAGACATTTTCTTTACAGTGAATTCTCAAGAAATTCAAGCATTAATAATTTGTAAAACTTAATGCTCAATTTGTTACAGATACCTGCAAAGTTGGTGCCAGACATGTAAATGATCTGCTACAACTCAGTGCCGATGGATCTAGTAGTAGTCGTACTAAGCGACCATCTTCAGATAGCACTCAACTTGAAGGACCTTCAAGAGCAAGGCAAAGAAGCGGACATGAAGGACAATTGAGTGTGGGGATGCACCAGATTTCGATAGACGACGAGCAGCCAGGACCATCGACAACTTCGCAGCATATCGATGAAGTTGGGAGCACCACAACTGATAATAGAGAATCAGAGGTACTTGTTATTTAGCTATCCTGTTTTATTCAATACCAACAAGTGTTATTAACGGAAAACTTTTACTCCTACAAATATCTATATCCACATTCCACAAATATGTAAATTTCTTTTTCAGATTCAAAGGCTGTGTGCTTTATGTGACGATGGTACAGCGGTGTTGATAAAAATGCGACTTGATGGTGCACAGACCCTTATAGGCCATTTAGAGAAATTGGGGGATTTTCACAAATTAGAAACTGTCAATCAGCACTTAATCAAAAAAACATTACATGTCCACCAGAGCTGTAGAATGGACGTGGTTAATGATTTTCATAAACTCTTGAATGGTTTGAAAACCTAAATTTGATTTATATTTATGAATACCTCGTTTCATTTTTAATACTTTAAAAAAGGAATTGTTTTAAAGAATTAGTTGATAATCATTAAGTAATCAGGCATTCATTTCTTCTAGACTTTAGCTCTCTTACCATCATCTGCTTTTTACAGAAGCCGAAAACAAGAAGAAGGGGCCTCGGCGTGTAAGTAAAAGGGGCCGAGGATTTGATGACAGTAACGATACCGAAGAAACTAAGACGATCTTACTATACAAGGATAAATGTATTATCTGCCTCAAACCACTAAAGCACGCTCGAAATAATCGAGGTGAATACAACACATATATGATGTATTTTGAAACTTTCAAGCGTAAGTCATCATATAAGATGGTTGATTTTCTTTTTTTTACAAAAATGTATATTTTTAATTTTCAGATCGATACAAGGATAAATACAGAACAATATGCACAATCGAAGTTAAAGCGAGTCTTGAGGAAATGTGCTTAGCGAGGGGCGACGATTATGCAATGGAAGTTTATGGAAGATTGCAGGGTCTTAACGATCTTGTTTCTGAAGAAGCTATGTACTGCGAAAATTGTCATAGAGACCTTTCGAGACCACCTAAATCCCGCGAAGTCCAGGTGAGTAGATTGACCCTGATTTCTCCCGATTTCCCACTTAACGATGAACTTTGCGCTAAACTAAATCTGACGTTTATTTCATCCACTTTTTTGAGAAAATATAGCAATTGTATCATTGTTCAGACTTTTTATATTCTTTGTTATAATCTCCTATAATTTCCCCACAGGTGGGTAGGTCGACAGATGGAGACAAAGAAAAAACATTCAACCTTCTCTGCCAATGGATAGATCAAAAGGCAGAGCACGGGGTATTCACTTTGGAGTTTCTTTATTGCAAACTTCAGTCGTTTGTCGATGAAAATGACGGGATCAAAGACTGTTACACGCGAAAGTATCTTAAAATTAAACTTCTAGATCATTACAAAGAAAGTATATACTTTACAAATGAAGAAAGAAGGGCAGATGTACTTTGTTTTAAGGATAAGTGTAGTCAGATTCTGAGGGACTATTGTAAGAACGAAGACTTGTCTCTAGAACAGCAGAAACTGGAGCTTATGGCTGCTGCAGCAAAAGTTTTGATGAACGACATTAAAACAATCCCCATCAATGGGAAGCTTTACCCCACTGTTAAGGAGATGGCAGATGATTACGATGTACCCAACTCTTTGACGTACCTTTTGAGTACTTTACTTAACTCGAAGAAGCATGTAAATGTATGGGCCCAGAATATAGTATCAGCATTAAGACCAAGGTCAGGTCCTATGCCTAAGCAGCTTGGAGTGGCTCTCTTGTTGGACCACAAGTTTGGTTCAAAACATCTAATCGAACAGATTCACAAACTAGGATACTGTTCATCCTATCCTGAAGTGCTCCAATATAAATGGTCGTATTTAAAGAACAAGTATTCCAACCACCTCGAACCTATACCTGAATATGTGGCTGTGGAAGATTTTCAAATTGCATGCAGTGAAGACGATGAAGATGAAGATGTGGAAAATGAAGAAGAAGCTACTGATGATGAAATGGATAAAAGTATAGATTTTGGTGATGAAAGTGACCGTGATAGTGAAATAAGCTTTGAAGAACAGGTCGAGACAGAAGATTTCCCAGTTCTGAAGGAGGTTGAGCAATTTGTTGGCGATAATATTGATTTGGCGATAAGGTCACAATATGGCAATACTGCCTTCCACGCTATGGGTCGAATGAAGATTATCTCACCAGCACCCACGGATGTTATCGAACCTATTATTGAAAGACAACGATTAAAGCCTGACGAAAAAGCAACTTTGCTTAATGATCTAACAATAAAGGTTTACCCCTATCACCCCCTCAAAGAAAATGGTCTAAGCACAGTCACATTCAGGCCATTTGATAAACTACAGCGAAAGTTTGTTTATGATACCTCTTGCCTTGGAGACACCGCTTTTTATGCAGCGTGGCTCATTTTCATGAAACTTACCCATGCCAATCCTCCCGTCAATTGGAAAGGTTTCATGAAATCGCTGCATAAGCCCAATGTGAAGGCAAGATCACAAATTGAGTTCCTGCAGATAATCGATCAACCCCCAGACAGCTACTCAACAGTCTATACAACACTTATTGAGTGCTTGAAGACAGCCTCAAACAAACCGATGATAATCACCTTCGATTTACCACTTTGGTTGAAGGCTAGTCGGATAGTTCTCGAGAAAGGAATGCCAGTTATTGTTAGGCTGGGAGGCTTCCACACCCTGAAAAGCTTTTTGGGGTGTGTGGGTTATATCATGGCAGACTCCGGACTGGAAGACCTTATGAGATTAGTCTACCCTGGGGATGTAACTCACATAATGGACGGTGGATCCTATTACAAAGCACTGAGGGCCCACTTTTTAATAGATTGTGCTCTCTGCTGTTATTTATTTGAGGACAAAATAGCAGAGGAGGATCTTGAAGAAATGGCTAGCTACATTGCCAAGTGTAGCAATGAAAAACTCGGTGTAAACCACAAGACCAGAGTCGTACAAGAGTTATCAGAGCGTATAAAAAAGAAGTTCGAGATGTTATCGTCGAACAGCCGCACAGCTGCTCTTTGGACAACTTATCATGGTTTCATTTGCTTAATAAAAGATTTTATAAGAGCAGAACGGTTACATGACTTCGATCTACATCTTGCAATTGTGGCTAAGATGTTGCCTATCTTTGCAGCAGCAGGTCGAGGTCAGTACTCCAAAGCTCTACGGCTGTATCTTGAGCAGATTACCGTACTTGAGATTCAGTATGGGGCACTAGTCAAAACGTTCAAGGTCGTAGGTCTGCACACAGTTCGATATAATGAACACGAGTGGTCTGGTGTGTGGACAGACCTGTCGATCGAACAGCGACTAATGAAGGCTGCAAAGTCATCAGGGGGTTTGTCTGGAGGGAGAATGCGAACTCATGAATCTGCCCATCAGTTATGGACTGCAACCCTCAATCAAATGGCGTTGATAAACGAGAGTGTCGATGAAGCTATTGCAGACTTATCCAATAAAAGAACAACAACAAAAGCCTCTAGTGCTAATCACTCAGATCTTAGCAAATCTTCTGTACAGAAAAATATTGCAGTGTTTACCAAGCTGTTGTGTTGGTTTAAAGATACAGCTGATTTCGACGAATCTGAAGACAAGACTAAAATGCTATCGTACTCAACGGGTCTCATATCACAGAAAGAGAAGGATAATGTCAACCCAGAAGATTGCATTTCAGTTGGTACTGCCCTCCAGAAAGAGCTGGATGGCAAAAGCTTTATCGATAAGTTTCGAGTTAAAGGCAAAGTCGGAAACTTGACCCTTCTAAAGAAGACAGTGAGGGTGAACGAAAAAGACATTGTGATAGACTCATTGACAATTTTTAATCGGCTTGTCTTCGCATCTGAACGAGAGTCTACACTGGAGGAAAGCTTGCAATATGAGCTCACAGCAATGCCGATGAGTCTTTTTAACAATGAGCAGATGATGAGAAAGGCAAACAAGGCAGCCCTTGGGCAATACCTCAAGAATGTTGTTGATTGTACTGTGACATTTAGCAACCCATCCTCCCCATTAATAATTGATGGTGGATGGCTACTCTATCAAGTTACCTCGTTCACAGGCTTTGAAACATACGGCGACATAGCTAATGAATACCTTAAGCTAGTTCCGAAATCCGAACAGCGGAAAGTGATTGTTGTGTTTGATGGCTATGCCCGATCAACAAAAGATCATGAGCATCAGCGAAGAATCAAGGCATACTGCTCTGATATAGCTATTAAAAGTACTACTGTGTGCACAGTTCCGATGAAAAAACTGTTCAGCAACTCAAAGAACAAGCATGAGCTTATAAAGCTTCTGTCGAACGTTTTTACAGAACATGGAATTGAAGTACATGTAGCTACTGATGATGCTGATACCATGGTAGCTAGTAAAGCTTTAAACTTGTCCTTCTACGAAGATGTTGAGGTAAAAGCAGAGGATACTGATATACTTTGCCTCCTTATTCATCATTTTACTGAGAATCACAATGAAATTGTGATGACGACCAGAAACGGCTCACACTCGATCAGTAAAATAGTAAATGCTCTTGATGCCAACATAAAACGCATATTACTGTTTATTCACAGTTTCTCAGGATGTGACACGGTCAGCAGTATACATGGCTTTGGTAAGGTGAAGATATTGAAAAAGGCAATTTCTTTTCATGAGGAGGGTCATTTAACATCCTTACTCTCTGTGAGAGTTTCAACAAATGAAGTAATTGAAGCTGGCCTCTCCTTGTTTCAACATATCTATGGAGATACAACCAAGGCACTTGAAACTCTCAGATTTCTCAGCTACAGTAGAATGATAGCAAAGAAAAAACTCAACCCATCAAGGCTACCACCGTCTACATCCTCTGCAACTGAGCATATATTAAGATCATATCTTCAGTACCATAACTGGGTGACACTCGACACTGCAAGTCTAAATCCACTACATTATGGATGGGAGATGAGTTCTGAAGGATACTACCGGCCAATCCCGACTAAAGCTGCGATTGCCCCGGCAGGGATGCTCAACCTCATTTGCTGCAATTGCTCGGTGGAGGTTGAGAACCCTTGTAAGTACTTAAGGTGTTCCTGCCGGAAGTATGGCTTTAAATGTCTACCTGCATGTGGCCAATGTCATGGATTAAGTTGCACTAATGCACCCGAAAGACAGGACGATTCAGGAGAATCAAACAACTCTGAGGAAATGGGATAGCCAGAAGTGACCTAATATTTACCAATCAAAGACACCATGCTAATAATTCGGGATCTTTTTTTACAGAATTTGATGTGATATGTATATTATTTACTATACTAATATAAGGATCAATTGACAATTGAAAGTTAATTTTAGAATTTGAATACTGATAACTAGACAATGTTTTAATTGTACAACAATTTTGCTAAATTTCCAAATTTAAGTAAAATTTCAAAATTTTAGTAAATTTTTGAGAGGTTAGCCTATAAAAATGAAATTATCTCAATAAGTAAAGATCTGACGACCCTAAAACACTGATTCGCCCCACATAATGTCACTATTGCGGTCATTTTACACCCCCTATGGTGCTCCTGGGTGTCTTTATTACGATAGTTACGCGTTTTTCAAGTGCGGTCCTCAGGCTGACATACGCGCCTGAAGAAAATTGGCTGTAACTTTTTTTGCTCAACAGATCCAGATTCAAAACTCTTTGGGGTGGTTCCTGACACTATGGACAACACATTCCTGTAAAAATCAGCTTGTCGCAAATTTTTTCCCAGACATTTTGCATTATTCCCTAACTAGTTATAAACCTACAACTTAATTTTTACAACTTAAGCTCAATTTATTAATTTACGCGCCAACGCGTGACCCATAAAAGATGACTCGCGCGTTACAACTCCTTTCAACCATCACCTGCTACACAGACGGGTCACGCACAGACTCAGGTAGCGGGGCTGGTTATATTATCACCACTGAAAACAACAACACTACACTATACTAGAGGAAAGATCATTCAAGCTTCCCGATTATTGCACCGCTTATCAAACAGAACTCACTGCCATCATCGAAGCTTGTAAATATCTATCAACTTATACCAACACACACATCATCATATGGTCAGACAGTCTCTCCTCTATTCAAGCTATATCCTCACCCTCAACGAGGAGTAGAACTACTAGAGACTGTTACGACACTCTCAATACACTCGGATCCACTAACATCTTAGAGATCAGATGGATAGCAGCACACATCGCATTGTGGGGTAATGAAAAAGCAGACGAGCTGGCCAAAAATGGCACAACCAGTGAATCCACTTTGAATTGCCCAATTCCACAACCATGAACCAAATCCACATAATGTTCATTATTCAGAGGATAAATTGGGTAGCTGAGGCATGATTGCTTCTCTGGTTTTAATTCAGTAAGGAATAAAACAATTAATGAATTTGAAAAAATAGTGAAGAATTTGTTTGATCTCGAAGTTTGTGGACCCAATGAAAACGCAGAAAAAGCAATTTTCAAGTTTCAACTGTTACGTCGACAAAAACAGAGTAACATATCGAGAAATGCATTATTAAACTTCTTAGTTGTTATTTCTCAACATCAGTTTTTGTAGTGGAGATTCATGTTTTTCAGCCTGACAAATCTTGTGATGTTGTGGCTAAATATGAAATGATGCACAAGCTTTAATTTTACCCCATGAAATATTTCCTATGATCCCACAGTTCACACTATTACGCGAATGTTTACGCAGCGTGCCACTGTCAAACGCGCAATATGACTTCAGAGTACTTCAGATTAGCATATAAAAGTAAATATAACAACAAATCAGCTCAATGCAATATTTAGCAGATCAACTTAAAATGTTCAGATCACATGTCAAATACTTGTCAGGTGACATTATCACTTATTTATCACTTGTCACTTTTAAAATGTCCTGAGACAACTCAACGTGACATTTTGTAACATAACACAATATGAAATATTAAGCTATCTCAGGACATTTTAAAAGTCATTTTACTAACCTCGGCATGATTTGGTGTTTCCGTAGACTCTATGTCCACAATACAGATGTTGGTAATGAGACTAATCCCCAACACAACCATCCCACAGTAGGACGCTACCACCGTCTCCGGGACAGTGGACATTCCTACTGCGTCCGCTCCAATCTGAAATATGGTGGAATGTTGATAAGACGGATGAGTTCCTGCGCTTTCCAGGATGAATTCCTACAGAAAACGTACTGGAGAAGAAAATCACATTATCATATTCATTTAATATGGCGAACAGGGACAAAAGGATTTCGCGATTATTTTGGCCAAAAATCGCGGTACCGCGAAATTTAACAGGCTATACATTAAACTATACATAAAATTTGTCGCGGAGAATGGGAAATTTCGCGATTTCGTACATGCCGCGAAATCCTTTTGTCCCTGATGGCGAATAATTTCGGTATGTGGGGGTAGTTTTGGGAGTTACAAACATTTGATTTAGGGACTCATATTACATATCATAACATGAGAAAAAGATTAAATATAATTATTAAATCTTTATCTTGATGAGGAAAAGATTAGGAATATTTATCCGATCTTTATTTTAAGGTGAGAGGTTTTAACATCATTCCGGGTATATTAAAATCATTATTGTAACGGTATATTATAACCAGACAGAAACAAAGTGTTGAAATATGCAACCGTCAGTAATGGAGAGAAATATTCGAATATGTCAAAATTCGAAAGCTGGTTGCTATCAGACTATTGGTAGGTAGTTGAGTGGAAAATAATTTTGTTCTAGAAGGTTGAAAATAACTTTTAAGAGCAGTATATTGTAAGAGCACATGGCAGACTATTAATATCGCCACTCGCCATGTGCACTCCCAATCTCTCACGTTTTTCTGAGAAGTATGATACTAGCAAACTTTTAACCCAGTTTTTGAGAATGACTTATTATCAGAAACGACTTTGAAATCCATCACTTTAATCATCCCTCTCATTTTTATACGAAAGTAACCGCATATTAAATTTGTGGCTAGCGTATTTCTTTTACACTTTAGCAGGTTCACTTCCACGTTTGGTTGCACGGCTCGTCGGCTCCGATAAATTAACAAAGGAACAAGACGTGATATCTGGAGCTGTGCATAATCAAATTAAGGACTCATGAACCTGTACCAAATTTCCACAGTGTCGTTTTACCTCTTATATTAGGACGCAATGAAACTACCGGACCACGATGTATGGGGACTTGCCACCCCATGGCAACATTAAAATATATCGACTCTGTTACATCGTTTCCTGTTAATATAAAACTCCGTTACAAAATGAACTGGGATCTGGCAATACTACACCTTAATATCTTGCGAATGTTTTCATCAAAAATGAACAGCAACATACGCCCACTTTTCACTTCATATTATGTGCAAATCCATGCTTCATCTCGCCGGATAACAGCTCTTGGTAGTATTCCCAATTCTGGTAAAAGGAAAATGCTGCCTTCCTAACCATCGTAGAGCCGTGAGCCGGCTAGCCGACGGCAATCGGCTGGCTAAGAGAAAAAATCGGCTGGCTAGCCGGCTAAGCCGGCTAAAACTAGGAATGGGATTACCAGATCCTAATGTCAGATATTGTACCAAACATTTTTATTTTGCTAATATTATTATTTTGTATTAAAATTGATTGGCTTATACTTTATGTTTCTTTATACTTTATGTCGATTTTAAGGGCAAAACTTGAAATGGAAGGTAACAAGTGATACACCTTACTCGGGATTATTATGACCGGGATAAAGTGGTGGGTTTAGGGTAATTTCGCCATATTTTTCCCGAACCACATTTTCACCGGTCGTTAATAAACCCGCCTACTCAGCTTTTAGGGTTCCCAAGGGGTATGGGTGCTCATATTTTAATCGTTGTCTTATATTCACTAAAGAAGACTAATGGGACACTTGTTGTAGGTTTTTCGACTTCATTTGGCTAAAATTGCAAAAAATTCACCTTTTTGCCCAATTCTTGTCATATATCCTTATTGTCAAATTTGATTTAAATATGCCAATTTTTAATTTCTTAGGTATTGACTATCTCTACATAATGAAATAAGACTCAAAGTAAAAGTAACAGTTAAATTAAAACTTGAATTAATTAAAACTGATGAAAGGGATGATCCAGATGAAGATAACGAAGATGATTACAACTTATTGGAAGACTAAACTGAAACAGCTCTCCCTTTATCTTAATATCGATCTGGTTGTTACGCTTCAAATGTTAAAAATTATTTTCCATCTAGTTTGATTAACCACGAGTCATTATTTCTGTCTACTTTCAACAATTATTGATAATTCGACTTGTTTCACAAGTTTTAGCAATGCGAAAATTTCTAAACTTGCTTCTCTCTAATAAGGAAATTTACATCTGAGACAAAATTTTTGAATCTAAAATTGAAAGGTTGGACACTGGTAAAATGGCGACCGGGAAAATGTGGTGGGTTTTGAGCAATTTCGCCATATTTTTCCCGAACCATATTTTAACCGGTCGTTAATAAACCCGTCGTAATAATCCCGAGTAAGGCAATTTCATAATTCATAACTTCAATAATAATAAGTTAGTTAATAATAAGTTAGGAAATTCTCACTGGTCAGAGTCAATCTCTAATTTACTTATAAAAGTTTAAAAAATATCTCTGTTACGATTAATCTTACTATATATAAAGCGAGACGATATATATATATATTTCATGGCTGGACTTCTACACAATAAAAGAAAGCGGTTGTGATTAGATCGTCGAAAGTCTTTGCATCATTTATTTACATCAATTCTGAGAAATTATATCATTAAAGTAACTACAACAAATACGAATCATATACAATTGAGAATAAATACAAACTAAAAGCAGTGGGAAAATCTGATGAACTGAAATTTAAAAAAGAAACTGAAAGCCGTTAAAAATGTACTCTTATCTTATCTCTTATCTAAATACTGATAACTGATTCTCGGAAAATCACTTAAAATCACAACAAAAAACCTGTAAAATTAATACTAAAGTAAAAAATGTAGTATGCACGTCTCTGGAATAATGGTATAACTAAATAAAATCTACAAAATATACTAAAACTAAAACTAAGCTCCGGCAGATTTAAAAAGTATATGGTTACTATCAAGGGTGTTCATACCCCCAAACCGTTCAAGGGTTTTCAATTGGGTCTGGTAGAACCCCTCTCTAGCTTCCATAGCCTTTTCTTTGTCTGCTTTACTAATATTAGGCTCAAATACTAAAGCGTCTACTATAATGACAGAAAGGTGCTTACTAAGTGAGGAATTATAGGAGGCTATGGTACTAAAATCTAAATCATGATCAATATCTAAAAAATGGTTAACTAATTTACAACTTCTTATACCTTTCTTTATGTGACTCTTATGGTTAGAGAATCTCTTAGGGAGATTAGAGGTAGTATAACCGACATACGACTGTTTACAAGTCTTACACTCCATTAAATAAATGAGGTTATATACTCTGACAAGATATATACTTAGTTATAGGGAAAACTTGTTTAGAATGGTGACTACTAAAGTTGGAACAGGGGGACAGGAAATTTTGCTTACAAACATAGCATTTACCACAAGCATATATATATCTGTGCCATTTTACTGACACCACGGCATCGACTTTAACGCAACTTTCTGCAAAAACCGTAAAAGATATACAACTGAAACTTTTTTGGCTGGGTCAAATGCTTTAATATCCTCTAAATCAGCATGAAAAAATAAAAAATTGGCCGAGGAATAATGATTTTAGAGCCGAAAATTTGGACCCCCAAGTGGTGTCAAAAACGCCAATTAAATAAGTAATAATTATTTCAGTATCTTAAGTCTTGACACCGTTTAGGGTTATATTTCACGGGTTCCTGCTAGGGAATGGCTTTTAAATTGTCTGATGAGATCTTTGATCTCCTCTTGTTTACAGTCAGCCCTGCTGCTGACCATGTTCTTTCCACATCAGCAGCGGATGCAGGAACCGAAAATATAGCGCATGCTAATTTTGAAAGAAGGGGCAATGTATCACTACGACATTTCCAATATCTAAGAGTGTCCATCTTGGACAGAAAGTTTTTGAGTACATAGTACAATACAATTTAATTTGCGCACGTACGTACTTTTTCTGAAATTTATGAAATTTATCTCTAAAGTCGATCATGGTATAATTTGTTACATGCCGTCTAGATTCCCGGCCTGAAGTATAGATAAGTGATAACTGCTGAAAATGTGTTAGCCGATCGGCTAGCCGATGGCAATCGGCTGGCTAAGCCGGCAATTTCGATCGGCTGGCTAAGCCGGCTTAGCCGGCTAGCTCACGCCTCTAAACCATCGGTGCATAACAACAATGACCTGCGTTAGACTTGTAAGGTCATAAGATCTGAGGTCATTACTCATAAAAGCAGAACGGTTCACAGTGCCGTTATACCGTGAAATACAGGAAACGACCGGGATTGGCAATTTTGAGCTATCCCGGTCCCGGTCCCGGTCAAATGCTGATTTATGATCCCGGTCCCGGTCCCGGTCCCGGTCAATCACTCAAATTTGCCGGGATTTTTACCGGGAGCTTTTACATAATTTCATCCACTGTGACTTTAAGTTTTTCCTTTCATTCATTGTGAATTTCATCTTTAAACATCCTCTGAGCCAAATAAAACAATGTTAAAAATTTCTAAACAAGTTTGAGTAATAAATTATGATCATGAATTAACCAGTAATCGACCGGAATTCCCGGTACCGGGATTGGCAATTTTGAGCTATCCAGGTCCCGGTCCCGGTCAAGTCACATTTTTCATCCCGGTCCTGGTCCCTTTCAAATGCTGATTTATGATCCCGGTCCCGGTCCCGGTTAATTCAGGATTCTTGGTCCCGGTCCCGGTCCCGGTCAGGCCTGAAATCATGTCCCGGTCGATTACTGGTGAAATAATGCTGCTCCAGTTTATACCACATACGGCTTTTACTTGGTCATTTGTTGACCACTGCTCACCTGGTTTTTACAACTCTTTAGCCAGTACAACTGTACAATTGGAAAACTAAAGCCTTACCAGTTACCACCCAGATGGCGCCGTATAATCTTGCCCTCTCAATGATCCTCATTTCAACATAGATCTTTATTATATAGTGCTGTTAGTGGTCCGTTCCTGTAATCGATTAACCATTGTGCCATGGTCTTTACCTTTGGGGTATGATAACGTAAAATCAGAGTATAATATCACGCCATTCGCAATCTCGTTTCTGTTTTTCAGAAACGAGATTGCGAATGGCGTGAGCGACTCCATAACGGTCGACACGTACTGTAGTTCGACAAACCCTAAGGTTCGACTCTGTCGAACTAAAGTGCGCTACCTGGACTTAAGTTCGACAAGAGAACTTCGACTGTCGAACTAGAGTTTTAAAATCTCTGATCTCAAGCAACGCAACGATCCTTTACGACTTGAACCGGAAACAGACGGATATCAAATTGATATTATCAATATATTTTCCTGTTAGCTAGATCAGAACAAAGTGGCAAACAGGAGAATTAAAACTATACTGAAAGGTTCTGGAATTTCTAACCGCTGGTTGCTAGATGTCAGAAAATTGCTTTATCTGCCATTGAACCCTGTGGCCTCAGCTGTATTTATCGTGCCTTTAACATCGATGCTATTTGCCTTAGTCCTTAATAATCTTTATGCACTTATACATATTACTGATATATTACTGTTTATAAATATATAACCTACTCGTGCAATAATCGATTATTTCCCACCCACCTTTATTTATCGGGCCTCATAAAGTTCTCCCAAATTTATTTTATACAGTATTTTATACAGTAGGTTGTTATATAATGTACATAGTTGGAGGAATCCTAACTCTCCTCACGTCCGAAAATGGCGTTTCTCTTGTATAAAATATAACCTGTATAATCCTCCCTCTAAGAACCGTGCTATTTGCCTTGGTTCTTGGCAATGAGCTGTAAACGGTATCTAATCTCACCATAATGTGAACTAAAGTCTAGACATTTTTTATGATAAATACTGTCCTCGGAACGATGACTAGTTAAGAGTAACGTCTTGGTATGAACATATTTGACAGGGCCACGAAAGGAGCAGTTTCGCACCACCTGCTGAGGAATGACTCAGTAGAAAGAGGAGCTTTATATTTAGTTGCTAACGGGGCGGTCACAGACGGGGTAGATTTTAAAAACTCTCCCGTTAAACTCGTTTTGGGCGTTCTGATTATACATTTTGATACAATTGCTGTAGATCGTAATAATATACCTTTGCCCTAATTAAGTTACAAGTTTGCCCTAACAAAGTTACAAAAATGATAACGTCTCGGTATGAATTTTTAAATATATTTGACAGACCAAAAAAGGAGCAGTTTTTTACCAGCTGAGAGATAACTCTGTAGAAAGAGGGTGTGGCTTCAGTAGAAAGCTTCAAAAGTTTTTCATTTAAAAAAGGTTCTGAAAGGTCTTTTTTTTTTTTTTTGAAAAAACTATAAATCCATCACAATAAAACTGCGACGCGTTACATGATAAAATGAAAAAGTTTTGTCACAAACATGTGAATCTAGCCAAAGAAAAGTACTATAAGAAAATGTTTGACAAATACCAAAACTGCTCTAAAAGTCAATGGAAAATTATCAATGGCCTCCTGAACCGTAACAGAAAAAAGTTCGGACACACCCGTCTGAAGGACGACGATGGCACGATTATAAGCTCCGATCTGGCGGTCGCCGAGAAATTTAACGGCTACTTCTCTGGTATTGCAGCCAGTATCAAGAGGCAAATCGCTGCCCGTCGAACCTTTGACCCAGGTGGTTTCAAGCATTTTCTTAAGGCTTCGTGTAGTAACTCGATGTTTCTTAAGCCTTAATCACACGGTGAAGTCCAAAAGATAATATCAGGGCTTAAGAACAAGTCCACACTCGATTGTAAAATTGAGCCATTGAAAATTGCAAACAGCTGCGAAAACTTTACCAGGGCACTAGCTAATGTCATTAACTTTTCGTTCTCCAGTGGTACCTTCCCAAATGCTCTAAAAACTGCGAAAGTCGTTCCTATCCACAAAGGTGGTTCAAAATTGGAAGTAGCTAATTATAGGCCGATCTCTCTTTTGGGATCATTCTCGAAAATTTATGAGAAACTTATGCATGCTCGTGTTTTAGAATTTTTAGATAAGAACGATTCTCTTTTCGAAAATCAATACGGATTTCGGCCAGGAAGATCGTGTGAACATGCACTGCTCAATGCCCAAAATTCTATACTACACTCTCTAAATAAGAAACAAATTTCCCTACTACTCCTGCTCGATTACAGTAAAGCCTTTGACGTGCTTGATCATGAAACCTTACTTAAGAAGCTTGACCATTATGGGATCAGGGGAGTCGCGCACGAATGGTTTAGATCCTACCTTTGTAATCGATCTCAATACGTAACTTTAAACGGGACTTGCTCTTCTAGCATGCCCATAGTTTACGGCGTACCTCAGGGTAGCATTCTAGGACCTCTCTTATTTGTAATTTATATAAACGACCTACCTGGAATTAGTGATTTTGCAAAGTTCATCCTTTATGCTGACGACGCGAACATATTAATTAGTGGAACCACCCTAGAAGAAATACAATTAAAAGCTAATCAGCTAATTTCACGTCTTGTAGATTGGGTAGGTGCTAATGGGCTATCTTTAAATGTAAAAAAGACGTGTTACTGTGTTACATGATTTTCACTAGGAAAAGAATCGACTTCAGCGGCTTTAATTTGTCCATTGACAACACTGTAATCGAACGTAAGACTGAAGCAAGATTTTTAGGAGTGATCCTAGACGAAAAGCTCACTTGGCAAAAGCACATTACGGCAGTTAGAATAAAGATGGGTCGCTACCTCGGAGTTATGTATAAGCTAAAGCACCTTCTACCTATCAAAGCCCGCCTAAACATTTTCCAAAGCCTTATCCAATCCCATCTAAATTTCTGTTCTTTAGTGTGGGGATTTGCCTCAAAATGTCACATTGAATCTCTGTTCACCAAGCAAAAGCAGGGAATTAGAGCTGTTATGTCAGAAATTCGACAATATTTTGTAATTCATTCTTTGGGATACTTTCCCCGGCCGGAATCAATTTTCCAGCACCTTAATTGTGTCATGTCATCCATAGTTAACTGCCTTATTGATCACTGGACAAATATTCGGCGAAAACTGCGAAATTTCGGTCCAGCAAAATTTCACCTGCCAAGTTTTACATATTTTCTTATTAAATAAGTCCTTTAGAAAAATGTGTTACATCCTTTACTTTTGATTTCAGCTGAAGTTATGACACTAGTTCTCAAGTTTTTATAATACATTTTTCGGACTATAACATACATGATCACCGTATAATAAAATTAAAGATTCAGATTCAGATCAAAGTGCCCCAAAAATTACTTAGTTATTCAATTAAATACACCATCAAATATCTGCAGAGTATTGCAAAACCAATAAAAACTGCTTAATCAGATACGACAATTGCGCCCTATTAATCATGAAATCGTAGATCATATTAGGTTGGAGTCAGGCAGAGTTACAAATCAAATTAGTTTAACACAAATATAATATACACTAATTAAGTAAACTAATTAAGTAAACTAATTAAGTAAACTAATTATGTCAACTAATTATGTACACTAATTAGGGTGGCAGTCACATACAAGGTTTCTAACGTTTAGTTGCTATAAGTACTAAATTCTTAAATTATTATATGCCGTTATTTCTGTTATATTGAATATCTTGGATCACTTATTGGGGGGGGGGGGGGGGGGGGGGGGCAGCCATATTAACGGGGATATACTTTAATATACTTTAATATGGTTGCCCTGCCCCCTCCCCCCCCCTATCTTGGATCACTTATTAAACTTAAAATAACCGAAAATTCTCAGTATAAAGTAATAACTCATGAATAATGCAGTGAATGCTGTTAGGATTGTCCCAGAATATATCGTGGAGTAGATACGATGAGTTTACTTGTCCTCAATGTTCCAGAGATGTTGTCCCCATCTTACAGTCAGTCTCACTATGTTCAGCAGATCTTTAGCGCGCATGTTTGCTGTCTCCAATACCTGACAATTGCATGATTTGAATCAACTTTAAAATCACAAATGGGTAAAAATGTAAAGCTATTTCAAAAGTTAAAGTATATAATAGCGTTCTGTAATGAAGTATATACTATGGCCCATTGAACTTTCATTCGACCCACTCCCCCTCGACGAGTCCAACTCGGCGTGGGTCTTGGTAGGTTATAAACCTACAACTTAATCTTTACAACTTAAGCTAGCTCAATTTATTAATTTACGCGCCAACGCGTGACCTATAAAAGATGACTCGCGCGTTACAACTCCTTTCAACCATCACCTGCTACCCAGAAGGACTTTCGACAAATCTGTTCCAAATAAAAAGATCGAAAATCGAGTGTTTTAGTGAATATCTTAGAATATAATTTTGATTTTCTCAAGATCTGACTGATAGATTTTCTTTAAACTTTCCAGATAGTTAGATGGCTATATGACGGATAATGTGTAAGAGTTTGGGAGAATTTCTATATGCAAAAATGGAGATATGACTTCAAACACAAGAAAATATCTCCAAATTGGCGGGTTCTAGCGGAACACAGGTATATATTTAGAGATCTGAATGATAGATTTTCTTTAAACTTTCCAGATAGTTGTATGGCTATCAGACGGATAATCTGTGCGATTTTGGGTGAGTTTCTATGTGGTAAACTTGAGATATGACTTCAAACACAAGAGAATATCTCCAAATTGGCGCGTTCTAGCGGAACACAGACACATATTTCGAGATCCTACGGATAAATTTTCTTTAAACTTTCCAGATAGTTACATGGCTATAAGACGGATAATCTGAGCAAGTTTGGGCGAATTTCTATGTGCCAAACTTAAGATATGACTTCAAACACAAGAAAATATTTCAAATTGGCGCGTTCTAGCAGAACGCAGGCACATATTTCGAGATCCTACTGATACATTTTCTTTAAACTTTCCAGATAGTTACATGGCTATAAGACGGATAATCTGAGCAAGTTTGGGCGAATTTCTATATGCCAAACTGGAGATATGACTTCAAACACAAGAAAATATCCCAAATTGGCGCGTTCTAGCGGAACGCAGGCACATATTTCGAGATCCTACTGATACATTTTCTTTAAACTTTCCAGATAGTTGTATGGCTATGAGACAGATGATCTGAGGGGGGGGGGGGGGGGTGTCATGTCCGTCTATGTCCGCCTATGTCCTGTCCTTTTTGGATTCTATGAGACAACGGACGTGTTTTTTGGGACATAGGCGGACACGGACAGACATTGGCGGACTCGGACGGACATTGGCGGACTCGGACGGACATTGGCGGACCCGGACGGACATTGGCGGACTTGGATGGACATTGGTGGACATTAGCGGACATTGGTGGACATTAGCGGACAAACATTTTTAGGACTGAAGAGTACTGAAGAGTACTGAGGAGGATGGCTGAGAAGGATGGCTGAGGAGGATGGCTGAGGAGGATGACTGAGGAGGATGACTGAGAGGGAGGAGAAGGATCAGGAAGACCCAGGAGGAGGAGGAGGAGGAGGACCCAGAAGGATGACTCACGAGGAGGAGGACTCAGGAGAAGGACTGAGGAGGACTGAGAAGGAGGAGGACTCAGGAGGAGGACTTAGGAGAAATGAGAAGGAGGACTGAGGAGAACTGGAGGAGGAGGAGGAGGAGGATGACTGAATAGGAGGAGGAGAAGGAGGGGGACTGGGAGAGGACTGGGGAGGAGGAGGACTGATGAGAAGGATGAAGAGGAGGACCCAGGAGGAGGAGGACTGAGGACCGAGGAGGAAAAGGAGGAGGATGAAGAGGAGGAGGAGGACCCAGGAGGAGGAGGACTGAGGAGGAGGACTGAGGAGGACTAAGGAGGATGGCTGAGGAGGATTACTGAGAGGGAAGAGGAGGAGGAGGAGGAGGAGGTGGACTGAGGAGGACTGAGAAGGAGGAGGAGGAGGAGGACTGAATATGAGGAGGAGGAGGGGGACTGGGGGAGGACTGAGGAGGAGGATGGAGGACTGAGAAGAAGGATGAGGAGGAGGACTGAGGAGGACTGAGGACTGAGGAGGAAGAGGAGGAGGATGAAGAGGAGGAGGAGGACTGGGGAGGAGGAGGACTGTTGAGGACTGATGAGGAGGACTGAGGACGAGGAGGAGGAGTAGGAGGAGGACTGAGGAGGGGAGGAGGAAGAGGACTGAGGAAGATCAGGAAGACCCAGGGGGAGGAGGAGGAAGAGTAGGAGGAGGAAGCATCTAAATGTTATTTCCATTTTTGTCCGTTTTTGTCCATTTTTGTCCGTTTTTGTCCGCTCTATTTTTTGTCCGCTCTATTTTTTGTCCGTTTTGAAAATATAGGGTACCGAACGGACAAAAAACATGATCCCCTATAACAGCAAAAATTGAACATTTTATTTAGCAATTTAGGTGTCCATTAATGTCCGCCTATGTCCGCCTATGTCCGTCTATGTCCGCCTATGTCCGTCTATGTCCGCCTATGTCCGCCTATGTCCTGTCCTTTTTGGATTCTATGAGACAAGCGGACATAGACGGACGTGACACCCCCCCCCTCTGAGCAAGTTTGGGCGAATTTCTATGTGCCAAACTTAAGATATGACTTCAAACACAAGAAAATATCTCAAATTGGCGCGTTCTAGCGGAACACAGACACATATTTCGAGATCCTACTGATAAATTTTCTTTAAACTTTCCAGATAGTTGTATGGCTATGAGACGGATAATCTGAGCAAGTTTGGGCGAATTTCTATGTGCCAAACTTGAGATATGACTTCAAACACAAGAAAATATCTCAAATTGGCACGTTCTAGCAGAACACAGGCACATATTTCGAGATCCTACTGATAAATTTTCTTTAAACTTTCCAGATAGTTACATGGCTATAAGACGGATAATCTGAGCAAGTTTGGGCGAATTTCTATATGCCAAACTGGAGATATGACTTCAAACACAAGAAAATATCCCAAATTGGCGCGTTCTAGCAGAACACAGGCACATATTTCGAGATCCTACTGATAAATTTTCTTTAAACTTTCCAGATAGTTGTATGGCTATGAGACGGATAATCTGTGTGATTTTGGTCGAGATTCTATGTGCCGAACTTGAGATATGACTTCAAACACAAGAAAATATCTCCGAATTGGCGGTTTTTAGCGGAACAAAGGCATATATTTGGAGATCTAAATGATAGAATTTTTAAAACTTTCCAGATAGTTACATGGCTATAGGAGGAGGAGGAGGATTGAGGAGGGGGAGGAGGACTGAGGAAGACTGAGGAGGAGGAGGAGGTGTAGGAGGAGGTGGACTCAGAAGAAGGAGGAGGACTGAGGAGGAGGAGGAAGTGGAGGATGTGGAGGAGATGGACTCGGGAGGACTCAGGAGGAGGAGGACTGAGGAGGAGGAGGAGGAGGAGGAGGAGGAGGAGGAGGAGGAGGAGAAGGAGAAGGAGGAGGAGGAGGAGGAGGAGGAGGAGGAGGAGGAGGAGGAGGAGAAGGAGGAGGAGGAAGCATCTAAATGTTATTTCCATTTTTTCATAACATTTTTGTTCCGTTTTTGTCCGTTTTATTATGTTTTTGTTCGCCCTACTTTTTGTCCATTTTGAAAATAAAGGGTACCGAACGGACAAAAACGGACACAAAACATGATCCCCCTTTCCAGATAGTTGTATGGCTATGAGACAGATAATCAAGAGGAAGAGGAGAATGAGGAGGAATAGGACTGAGGAGGAGGACTGAGGAGGAGGAGGACTGAGGAGGAATAGGACTGAGGATGAGGAGAAAGACTTAGGAGGAGTACTGATGAGGAGAAGGAGGAGGAGGACTGAGGAGGAGAAGGAGGAAAAGGAGGAGGACTGAGGACTGAGGTGGAGGAGGAGGAGGAGGAGGAGGATAAGGACTGACGAGGAGGAGGAGGAGTACTGAGGAGGAGGATGATGACTGAGGAGGAGGAGGACTGAGGAGGAATAGGACTGAGGATGAGGAGAAAGACTTAGGAGGAGTACTGATGAGGAGGAGAAGGAGGAGGAGGACTGAGGAGGAGAAGGAGGAAGAGGAGGAGGACTGAGGACTGAGGTGGAGGAAGAGGAGGAGGAGGAGGATAAGGACTGACGAGGAGGAGGAGGAGTACTGAGGAGGAGGATGATGACTGAGGAGGAGGAGGACTGAGGAGGAGGAGGAGGAGGAGGACTGAGGAAAACTGAGGAAGACTGAGGAGGAAGAGGAAGTGTAGGAGAAGGTAGACTCAGAAGGAGGAGGAGGACTGAAGAGGACGAGGAAGTGGAGGAGGTGGAGGAGGAAGAGGACTCATGAGAGTGTGGACTCAGGAGGAGGAATCAGGAGGACTCAGATGGAGGAGGACTCAGGAGGACTCAGGAGGAGGACTCAGAAGGAGGGGGAGGATGAGGACACAGGAGGAGGAGAAAGAGGATGAGGAAGAGGAGGAGGAGAAGGAGGACTGAGGAGGACTGAGGAGGAGGAGGAAGAGAAGGAGGAGGAGGAGGAGGACTGATGAGGAGGAGGAAAAGGACTGACGAGGAGGAAGAGGACCGAGGAGGAGGAGGAGGATGATGACTGAGGAGGAGGAAGACTGAGGAGGAGGACTGAGAAGGAGGAGGAAGAGGAGGAGGAGGAGGAGGAGGAGATATAAATGTTATTTCCATTTTTCGAATGGAATAGAAATTCGCCCAAACTTGCTCAGATTATCTGTCTCATAGCCATACAACTATCTGGAAAATTTAAAGAAAATTTATCTGTAGGATCTCGAAATATGTGCCTGCGTTCCGCTAAAACGCGCCAATTTGAGATATTTTCTTGTGTTTGAAGTCATATCTCAGGTTTGGCACATAGAAATTCGCCCAAAATCGCACAGAATATCCGTCTCAGAAGATCCTACTGATAAATTTTCTTTAAACTTTCCAGATAGTTGTATGGCTATGAGACAGATAATCTGAGCAAGTTTGGGCGAATTTCTATGTGCCAAACCTGAGATATGACTTCAAACACAAGAAAATATCTCAAAATGGCGGTTTCTAGCGGAACGCAGGCACATATTTCAAGATCCTACTGATAAATTTTCTTTAAACTTTCCAGATAGTTGTATGGCTATAAGACGGATATTCCTTTGCAATTTTGGGCGAATTTCTATGTGCCAAACCTGAGATATGACTTCAAACACAAGAAAATATCTCAAATTGGTGCGTTTTAGCGGAACGCAGGCACATATTTCGACATCCTACTGATAAATTTTCTTTAAATTTTCCAGATAGTTGTATGGCTATGAGACAGATAATCTGAGAAAGTTTGGGCGAATTTCTATGTGCCAAACTTGAGGACTGAGGAGGAGGAGGACTGAGGAGGAATAGGACTGAGGATGAGGAGAAAGACTTAGGAGGAGTACTGATGAGGAGGAGAAGGAGGAGGAGGACTGAGGAGGAGAAGGAGGAAGAGGAGGAGGACTGAGGACTGAGGTGGAGGAGGAGGAGGAGGAGGAGTACTGAGGAGGAGGATGATGACTGAGGAGGAGGAGGACTGAGGAGGAGGAGGAGGAGGAGGACAGAGGAAGACTGAGGAGGAAGAGGAAGTGTAGGAGAAGGTAGACTCAGAAGGAGGAGGAGGACTTAAAGAGGACGAGGAAGTGGAGGAGGTGGAGGAGGAAGAGGACTCAGGAGAGTGTGGACTCAGGAGGAGGAGGAATCAGGAGGACTCAGATGGAGGAGGACTCAGGAGGACTCAGGAGGAGGACTCAGAAGGAGGGGAGGATGAGGACACAGGAGGAGGAGAAAGAGGATGAGGAAGAGGAGGAGGAGAAGGAGGACTGAGGAGGACTGAGGAGGAGGAGGAAGAGAAGGAAGAGGAGGAGGAGGACTGATGAGGAGGAGGAGAAGGACTGACAAGGAGGAAGAGGACCGAGGAGGAGGAGGAGGATGATGACTGAAGAGGAGGAAGACTGAGGAGGACTGAGAAGGAGGAGGAAAAGGAGGAGGGACATGAGGGAGAGGAGGACAGAATTGCACAGAATATCTGTTTCATAGCCATACAACTATCTGGAAAGTTTAAAGAAAATCTATCAGTAGGATCTCAAAATAATCGACTTTCGTCAAATATCGTTCCGAAACCGCCAATTTGAGATGTTTTCATGAGTTTGAAGTCATATCTCAAGTTTGGCACTTAGAAATTCGCCCAAACTTGCTCAGATTATCTGTCTCATAGCCATACAACTATCTGGAAAATTTAAAGAAAATTTATCGGTAGGATTTCGAAATATGTGCTTGCGTTCCGCTAAAACGCGCCAATTTGAGATATTTTCTTGTGTTTGAAGTCATATCTCAGGTTTGGCACATAGAAATTCGCCCAAAATCGCACAGAATATCCGTCTCATAGCCATACAACTATCTGGAAAGTTTAAAGAAAATTTATCAGTAGGATCTCGAAATATGTGCCTGCGTTCCGCTAGAAACCGCCATTTTGAGATATTTTCTTGTGTTTGAAGTCATATCTCAGGTTTGGCACATAGAAATTCGCCCAAAATCGCACAGAATATCCGTCTCATAGCCATACAACTATCTGGAAAGTTTAAAGAAAATTTATCAGTAGGATCTCGAAAATTGTGCCTGCGTTCCGCTAGAAACCGCCATTTTGAGATATTTTCTTGTGTTTGAAGTCATATCTCAGGTTTGGCACATAGAAATTCGCCCAAAATCGCACAGAATATCCGTCTCATAGCCATACAACTATCTGGAAAGTTTAAAGAAAATTTATCAGTAGGATCTCAAGATAATCGACTTTCGTCAAATATTGTTCCGCGGAACAAATGGAACAGAAAGTCCAACTCCCTGCTACACAGACGGGTCACGCACAGACTCAGGTAGCGGGGCTGGTTATATTATCACCACTGAAAACAACAACACTACACTATACTAGAGGAAAGATCATTCAAGCTTCCCGATTATTGCACCGTTTATCAAACAGAACTCACTGCCATCATCGAAGCTTGTAAATATCTATAAACTTATACCAACACACACATCATCATATGGTCAGACAGTCTCTCCTCTATTCAAGCTATATCCTCACCCTCAACGAGGAGTAGAACTACTAGAGACTGTTACGACACCCTCAATACACTCGGATCCACTAACACCTTAGAGATCAGATGGATAGCAGCACACATCGCATTGTGGGGTAATGAAAAAGCAGACGAGCTGGCCAAAAATGGCACAACCAGTGAATCCACTTTGAATTGCCCAATTCCACAACCATGAACCAAATCCACATAATGTTCATTATTCAGAGGATAAATTGGGTAGCTGAGGCATGATTGCTTCTCTGGTTTTAATTCAGTGAAGAATAAAACAATTAATGAATTTGAAAAAATAGTGAAGAATTTGTTTGATCTCGAAGTTTGTGGACCCAATGAAAACGCAGGAAAAGCAATTTTCAAGTTTCAACTGTTACGTCGACACAAACAGAGTAACATATCGAGAAATTCATTATTAAACTTCTTAGTTGTTATTTCTCAACATCAGTTTTTGTAGTGGAGATTCATGTTTTTCAGCCTGACAAATCTTGTGATGTTGTGGCTAAATATGAAATGATGCACAAGCTTTAATTTTACCCCATGAAATATTTCCTATGATCCCACAGTTCACACTATTACGCGAATGTTTACGCAGCGTGCCACTGTCAAACGCGCAATATGACTTCAGAGTAATTCAGATTAGCATATAAAAGTAAATATAACAACAAATCAGCTCAATGCAATATTTAGCAGATCAACTTAAAATGTTCAGATCACATGTCAAATACTTGTCAGGTGAAATTATCACTTATTTATCACTTGTCACTTTTAAAATGTCCTGAGACAACTTAACGTGACATTTTGTAACATAACACAATATGAAATATTAAGCTATCTCAGGACATTTTAAAAGTCATTTTACTAACCTCGGCATGATTTGGTGTATCCGTAGACTCTATGTCCACAATACAGATGTTGGTAATGAGACTAATCCCCAACACAACCATCCCACAGTAGGACGCTACCACCGTCTCCGGGACAGTGGACATTCCTACTGCGTCCGCTCCAATCTGAAATATGGTGGAATGTTGATAAGACGGATGAGTTCCTGCGCTTTCTAGGATGAATTCCTACAGAAAACGTACTGGAGAAGAAAATCACATTACCATATTCATTAAATAATGGCGAATAATTTCGGTATGTGGGGGTAGTTTTGGGAGTTACAAACATTTGATTTAGGGACTCATATTACATATCATAACATGAGAAAAAGATTAAATTATATAATTATTAAAGAGGAAAAGATTAGGAATATTTATCCGATCTTTATTTTGAGGTGAGAGGTTTTAACATCATTCCGGGTATATCAAAGTCATTATTGTAACGGTATATTATAACCAGACAGAAACAAAGTGTTGAAATATGCAACCGTCAGTAATGGAGAGAAATATTCAAATATGTCCAAATTCGAAAGCTGGTTGCTATCAGACTATTGGTAGGTAGTTGAGTGGAAAATAATTTTGTTCTAGAAGGTTGAAAATAACTTTTAAGAGCAGTATATTGTAAGAGCACGTCATGGCAGACTATTAATATCGCCACTCGCCATGTGCACTCCCAATCTCTCACGTTTTTCTGAGTATTATGATACTAGAGTACTAGCAAACTTGTAACCCAGTTTTTGAGAATGACTTATTATCAGAAACGACTTTGAAATCCATCACTTTAATCATCCCTCTCATTTTTATACGAAAGTAACCGCATATTAAATTTGTGGCTAGCGTATTTCTTTTACATTTTAGCAGGTTCACTTCCACGTTTGGTTGCACGGCTCGTCGGCTCCGATAAATTAAGGCCAGAGGGGGGGGTAAGGGGTCAAAAAATTCTACCAAAATATTATTTTCTAAATCGATTTAATTTTTGATGACAAAAACATTGCTGCTATTCACATATTTGTAGCTGATTAACTTTATTTTATAATTGAGGTTAACCGATTTTCACAAAATTGACTATACAACATTGAGGTTAATAAAATTGAGGTTCATATTTTATTACACGCCATAATTTTTTGTTATTTCGGTCAGCAAATGTAAACTCTAAATTTTAGGTTCATAATTATCAGAAAAAGTAATATCCAAACTTGATTAAATGAGGTTAACCTCTTCTTTTAGATATAGCGAGAATAGATCAAATGATAGAGTTATTATTTTCATGGTAAGTTTACGGTATACAAATTTCTAAATAGATGACGTGTTGATTGACTTTACTTTTATCTTGAGAAAATGAAAAAAATGAGGTTAACCATCACATTTTGGTACCGTAGGGAATATACATACGATTCTTACTTATGTAATGTACCACAATATCGAAGTGAGGTATCTATTGGTATCACAATGCCTACAACTATAATCACGTGACAAAGGTGATTTGAACTGACCATATTTTAGTAGAAGATTTTACCCGTAAATGGCTAAAAAATGAGGTTAACCTCTCATTTTTGAATATCTGACCAGTTAATTACATGTTAACCTCAAAACCTTAATCGTTATACTGTGCAAATGTTTTACTACATATATAATAACATATTGTTAAACCAATCCCAGTGTTATATGGTCTAAAGCGAGGTTAACAACCAAATTTTAAGCAGTTAGTGTTTACAGGAAGTCTTGGTTAACCTCATTTTTTACAATACAAGGACATTAACTACTGAAAGTGGCTAAAATCATTTAGGGGACGGCCAGGTCTGATCAAGCAAACGTTATTAAGTGTATAAAAAGTCCTAACTAACGAACTGTGATACATTCCAGTGAATATTCAAAATTTTGAAAACACTAAATTGCATCTATCTCAAAACACATTTTTTGACCTTTCGATTCCTTAGTTGAGAAAACTGGCCACTCCCTGATCTTGAGGTTTGGTACAGTGGTTCCTTAGACAATTGTCCTCATTTATTATGTGAGCGATTTTTTAAATTTGACTCGGTTCTCGAATTATGAGGTTAACCAGCTAAATTTTCCGAATTTTTGACATGGTTAACCTCATAATTCGAGAACCGAGTCAAATTAAAAAAATCGCTCACATAATAAATGAGGATAATTGTCTAAGGAACCACTGTACCAAACCTCAAGATCAGGGAGTGGCCGGTTTTCTCAACTAAGGAATCGAAAGGTCAAAAAAGTTACAGCCGTTTAAAGATCCAGTTTAACATGTAATTACAGGTAAACCTCAAAATTTAGCGCGCGATATCTCAGGAACGCAAGGTCAGATTTTGATCCAGTTTTTTTCTTCTTGTTCGTCTCCAGCAGCTATTATCAAATATGTGAAAACTAGAAAAGTGCCATTTACCCCCCCCTCTGGCCTTAACAAAGGAACAAGACGTGATATCTGGAGCTGTGCATAATCAAATTAAGGACTCATGAACCTGTACCAAATTTCCACAGTGTCGTTTTACCTCTTATATTAGGACGCAATGAAACTACCGGACCACGATGTATGGGGACTTGCCACCCCATGGCAACATTAAAATATATCGACTCTGTTACATCGTTACCTGTTAATATAAAACTCCGTTACAAAATGAACTGGGATCTGGCAATACTACACCTTCATATCTTGCGAATGTTTTCATCAAAAATGAACAGCAACATACGCCCACTTTTCACTTCATATTATGTGCAAATCCATGCTTCATCTCGCCGGATAACAGCTCTTGGTAGTATTCCCAATTCTGGTAAAAGGAAAATGCTGCCTTCCTAACCATCGGTGCATGCAACAATGACCTGCGTTAGACTTGTAAGGTCATAAGATCTGAGGTCATTACTCATAAAAGCAGAACAGGTCACAGCGCCGTTATACCGTGACATAATGCTGCGCCAGTTTATACCACATACGGCTTTTACTTGGTCATTTGTTGACCACTGCTCACCCGGTTATACAACTCTTTAACCAGTACAACTGTACAATTGGAAAACTAAAGCCTTACCACCCAGATGGCGCCACCCACAATCTTGCCCTCTCAATGATCCTCATTTCAACATAGATGTCTATTATATAGTGCTGTTAGTGGTCCGTTCCTGTAATCGATTAACCATTGTGCCATGGTCTTTACCTTTGGGGTATGATAACGTAAAATCAGAGTTTGATATCACGCCATTTGCAATCTCGTTTCTGTTTTTCAGAAACGAGATTGCGAATGGCGTGAGCGACTCTATAACGGTCGACACGTACTGTAGTTCGACAAACCCTAAGGTTCGACTCTGTCGAACTAAAGTGCGCTACCTGGACTTAAGTTCGACAAGAGAACTCCGACTGTCGAACTAGAGTTTTAAAATCTCCGATCTCAAGCAACGCAACGATCCTTTACGACCTGAACCGGAAACAGTCGGATATCAAATTGATATTATCAATATATTTTCCTGTTAGCTAGATCAGAACAAAGTGGCAAGCAGGAGAATTAAAACTATACTGAAAGGTTCTGGAATTTCTAACCGCTGGTTGCTAGATGTCAGAAAATTGCTCTATCTGCCATTGAACCCTGTGACCTCAGCTGTATTTATCGTGCCTTTAACATCGATGCTATTTGCCTTAGTCCTTAATAATCTTTATGCACTTATACATATTACTGATATATTACTGTTTATAAATATATAACCTACTCGTGCAATAATCGATTATTTCCCACCCACCTTTATTTATCGGGCCTCATAAAGTTCTCCCAAATTTATTTTATACAGTATTTTATACAGTAGTTTGTTATATAATGTAGTTGGAGGAGTCCTAACTCTCCTCACGTCAGAAAATGGCGTTTCTCTTGTATAAAATATAACCTGTATAATCCTCCCTCTAAGAACCGTGCTATTTGCCTTGGTTCTTGGCAATGAGCTGTAAACGGTATTTAATCTCACCATAATGTGAACTAAAGTCTAGACATTTTTTATGATAGATACTGTCCTCGGAACGATGACTAGTTAAGAGTAACGTCTTGGTATGAACATATTTGACAGGGCCACGAAAGGAGCAGTTTCGCACCACCTGCTGAGGAATGACTCAGTAGAAAGAGGAGCTTTATATTTAGTTGCTAGCGGGGTGGTCTCCCGTTAAACTCGTTTTGGGCGTTATGATCAAACATTTTGATACAATTGCTGTACATCGTAATAATATACCTTTGCCCTAACAAAGTTACAAGTTTGCCCTGACAAAGTTACAAAAAGGGGGGGGGGGGGGGGGGGGGGGGGTGTCAACCTCATTTTACCTCATGAGGCCAGCCAAAAAAGGCAAAATTGGGATGAGGTAAAATGAGGTAAAATGAGGTAAATAAATCTAGTTTTTTAAGCCTTTTTTTAGAGACAAAAAAGGTTTATTCGAAGTCATTATACTATAATTCGAGGCTGTGCATGGTCTCCCATGATATTTAATGGTTTATTAGGGGCGATGTGGTCCCTGGGGTAAATAAAACTTCGCATTATAATTATTATTTATGAAAAGAAAATTGAACATTTCAATTTCCATGATCCATTAGGATATTGTTTATAGCACTTGCTAAGTTTTGTAAAGGAATTAGCAATAACTTTAGTGTCACTTTGGCAGTTGCCAATTTATGGGGATATTTCCGCATTGCATCTTTGCATGACATGGACCATTTAGATAATATCTTAATTTGATATTGCGATTATCGAGTCACTCTGAAACAAATTGTGTCTAACTAGACCAAATGTAAACAACAGTTGTGCATGGAACTGGATTGGATATCTACATGAATTTAGTCGAAATAGCATAGTGAAAGGTCATTTCATAATAAATTTCTCATATAAACTCATACTTCATACAATTCTAAGTTCTTATGTACATGTTCAATGTTCATGATTCGCTGTAGAATATAGGGCGGTTCACAAAACCACTTTTCGTTCAAATAATTAGATATCACCTCTAATTAGTTGCTCTATAGGGTCAGGAACAACCAAAAATTTTTTTGTGTCTCTACGGTTTCGTATAATACTGACTTGGGCCACGCCCATATTTTTCACCAATTTTTAACAGGCAAAATTCTCTAAATCGTCAATTTAGTCACGAAGGA